AGAACTTTTACAAAAAAATTAGTTTTTAATAATCACATTTCAACTTTAGGTAAGGATGCATTTCAGGTACAAGGACCCCTCATCAGCTTACAAACACATGGCAACAACATAATTATAATATCAATAGTTAACCAATACAAAGGAACTATTGGTGTTATAATTAACACATCTTATGAGCAAGAGCTACAAAATGCAGCACAGCTGAAGCAGCAATTAGTGCACTCGCAGCTGCTATTGCACAGGTGGGACTACTGAGGTTACTCATTTCAGATAACAGCATCAATTTTCAATCTAAGAAATTCCAGACATTTGCAAAGGAAAACAGCATCCACTTCACCTATCTCCTACCACCATCCACCAGAAAATAGTTTTTGTGAAGAGCAAATGAAACAATAAATCTAACTAATAGCTAACCTGAAAATGCATTGGTCTTCTGTGCTAGATTTGGTTGTTGGCACTTAAGACTGCTGCACTGGAAGCTCTTCAGTTTGGTAAAAACCTACAAGAAGCACAACACTGACTGAAGCCCAGTTACAAGCAGTACAATGCTCTAGATAACCAAAATTAGAAAGAGAGATGATTTTATGCCAAACTTGCTCATCCTGGACAATATCATTTGTTCACACAAATGATATTGTCTTGTTGCAAGTTCCAGATAATCATACCAACTGTTACAAGTTTAGCCCAAACTTAGATGAACTATTTACCATCTCACTCAAGACATAACTGGCTGAAATGCATTCTAGACAAAAGGTTCAATAGAAAGCTCCCTATACTTCTGAATGAATTGACTATGCATTCATCACTACTTAGGCTGTATTATGACAGATCCAGGACTGCAGAGAGTACCGGGAGCAGCATCCCAAGTCAGCTGGCCATGATTCAGTTTGAAAGAGGGAGACGAACTGCCAGCCTGGTGGCACCCCAATTGTTCACACACATCCGGGTTCCTAGACCTCTAATGTTTGTTTTTTAGTTTCCCACCTTCACCAATGATAATTGTCCTCAGCATGTGGTAAATCACTATCTTCAATTTTGGATTTCTTGACCCTTATTGGTTTGATGCCAATTTGATACATAGTGTGAAAAATATGACAAATTTCTGGAGGTGATAAGTCAGGAAACAAAATTAACAATGTTTGTTTTGAACCACCCTAAGTTAATTATTGTACAAGATCCACAGTGGTAAAGCAGAGATATTCTTATCCAAAGATATTGGGAATATCTCTGATTCTAGCTGCAACCACAACATATAAGCAACTCTTCATCCTGAACTGGTAAAGAGTAGACTTACATTAAAGACTTTTTCTGTGTAGTTACATTAAACTCCACAGAAAAAAGTCCAATAGCATCAGGTCAGCTGATTGAGGCCAGGCTACAGGCCCACCTCTTTTAAATGCCAAAAATAGCAGTAAATTGATCATATATTTGTCTTGAGAAATGAGGAGCAGCTCCATGTTGAAACCACATCAGTCTTTTGACATTTAAGAGAACTTTCTCCAGAAAATCTGGCAATACTACTACTAAGAATGATAAAGATGAAGAGATAACAAGTATGGTCCAATAAGTGGTAATCATTTATGATACATAGCCTAACACAAGATTATCAGTAGCAGCAGAAAGATGGACTTGTGACCTAAGAATGGTTTAAAACAAATTTTTTTAATCAATCAATCATCCCTAGAAATTTGTCTGTTGAAATTTTCCACACTGTGTGTCTGTGGAGGGGTGTGTGTCTATTACAAGTTCACTACAGTTACAAAGATATCTGATTACTACAAATACCACCAGTCTGATGGTCCTCTCCTCTGTTCCCTCATCCAAGACTTTCATTTATTGTCTACAATTTATTTTTCAACAGCTTGTTTTCTTCAGTGTGTATTAACATTCCTCTACTTTTGAAAAGACTTGCTTAAAATGAGTGGCATCTTGGTAGTATTAACACTAAGGAAAGAAGTTAATATGTAATGCCAAATTTTAAGCAAAAAAAGCCTGAACATCCCACTCTCACTTACATTAATGGAGGCATTGGCTATACCAGGGGTGGCCAACAGTTTTTGCCCCCGGGCCGAATTGGAAAGAAAACTTTTTCCACGGGCTGAACCAGAGACTGCCCTAGGAAGATTTTGAGGTGGTGCGAGATGTCATTGTGGTGTCATCCTGTAGAGACTAAATTGTAGAGATTACAGATACATTTTTCACATTATCATGCTTTATCAACATTCTATGCTGTACTTACAATATTTGTAATGGAGGGTTAACTCTAAACGCACAGTGAGTTGTTGACCTTTTTTTTTAGGCGTCAGAATTTTTCATCAAGCTATTTGAGACTTCAGTAGCTATTATTGAAAGATTGATCGCGGGCCACATAAATTCATTAGATGGGCTGGATCTGGCCCACAGGTCACCGTATGTTGGCCATGCCTGGGCTATACTGAACATCTCTGCATTCACATACCAAAGGAAAATAAGAATAAACCGAAAATTAAAATCAGAAATGATAGCCAGGAGTTGGGAAAGTTCCATGATTCACAGATAGCTTACTAAAGAATAAGCACATGTAGGTCTATAATTGTAAAATTTGGAGACAAAAAGTAGAGTGGGGTCCTGCAGACAAAAGCTGAAGGACCAATAGGCTGTAATTGTTCTACCAGCCAAACAATGTTTTCTTGGTAACATTTCCTATATACTTTAAATTCTATAAAGTATTTCTGTTGGAGAAAGATTGTTTAGGCTTGGAGATGATGTATTTACTGTTTAATTTGTATACTACTACTAAAAGATTTATATCTATATATTTTTTTTAATGTGATATTCCATTAATTAATACTGCTGTGTTATTAATTATACATATTAAAATACTCATTTACATAAATATAGTTTGAATAATCTTTTTGGAATTAATGAAAAAATAAAGTATAAAGGGATCTGAGAGATGGGGAGAGTCAGCCCCTTGACTGGCACTTTGAAATTTGTGACTGATGCTGATAGTTTAGTTAGCAAAAATGGACTGTCATTCACTTCCTTATCCACCTGTATTAAAGCAATTTTACTGGGCAATGTTTTATTTCTTTAATTCTATCAGGATGCTTTTTTTTTTTTTAACAGAACTTTGTCAGAATTTTATCTGTTTGGGTAAGCTAATAATAAAATTCAAAAACAATTTTTAATAATGAAATTATGTAATATTTTTTGTTTAATGACTTATTGCCCAATTTCCCTTCAATAATACAGAATTCCCTAAAACGTTTGTTTCTTCCTGATTAGAAAAATTCCCATTCTGAAAACCCTGACAAATAAGACCACATGCTCAATACAAAATTATTCCATACTAAAAAAATACATTGTATCAGTGGGTGAAATTTAGTAAATTGTGCATATGCAAACCCAAACATATCATTAACTGGAAATATTTTTTATACTTCAGAAATTAAGATTTGTGCCCTATTTCACACTAGAATTATTACATCTCTGAGATGACCATCTTGCATTTGACATTATTCCTTGAGAGAGAAGTGACTGAACTACAGTTCCGAATTTAATTGTTTTGGTGATTTTTTTTAGAATTAAGCATCAAAAGGAATCGAGCATTCGGATCTAATTATTATTAGTAGTAAAACTGAATTTTCTCAATTGAGGGTTGCAAATATCAATAGAAAAAGTTTAAGAAATCCCAAACTAGACAATAACTCTCACTCTGAAAGACTATGGTAAATCTAAATTAAATTAGGTATTATAAGAAAATAATGTTTAACATCACGTGAAACTGATATCTTTCAAAGTGAAATATTGGGATGTGAATATGCTTGCTTACAAAGTAATTGCAATTTAAATATTCCTAGTTTTATTCAATTGCTCCCATATCAATGTCTACAACATAGACCTATATCTTACATACAGTACTGTATATATGTTAATAAGTGAGATCAGAATTTTAAAAAAACAAATATGATCACATCGTTAATTGTTTTTATTGATAAATTTTGATTTAAGTTTTATCATATAAAAATTACAAATTAATTTTTTAACTTTCAAAATGAAAAATTACTAAGACTAATTTGTTGTATTATGGTAATGTGTGTATAAATCATGTAAACTTGTATACATAACACATTTATTCAGTTTACAGTTTAAGAATACAAATAGAACACACTGTAGAAATTTTTAGAAATATTACAAAAGCTGTGTAAATAAGTGTGTTTTTAATATTAGAAAAATGGAATGCTTATACAAAACATTTGGCCATCAATTTGATTGCTGTAAACCAAATTCTGGCATAGCTGCTTTGTTATGTCTTGACTACAGCCGAGAAAAACCCACAATATTATTTTGTGACAATGTAAATAACATTCATCATCATTACATTTTTAATTAAACAATAATTAAAGTTCAACTTGAATCCCACAAGTGCAATGTAAATTCTGTAACAAAATTTGTCTAGCTGCCTAAAAAAATTCCTTGTGAGCATCACAATTTGAAAGGAATGCATACAAGTGAGCAACTGGATTATCGTCATTAATTAAACTATATTGTGTATTTTAAATTAAAAAACTTATTCTGAAGAATCGAGAGAATCGTAAAAGTTTTCGATAAACTTCTCGTCTAATATTTTCAGATGAGATAAAAAATCACTTTTTTCCTCGTCACTCCAATTGACGATCCATTCGTTGAACAATTTCATTCGGCACTGGAAGATACTGGGTGGCCTGTCGCTGACATTCATGGAATCGACCGAATTGGCCAGGGAATTGGCCGTGGCAGGCGAATATGCTTCAATTAAAACCTTCAGAAAATCATCTTTCTGCATCTCACTGTATTCTTGAAACCATTGCAATAAATATGCAAGTTGATCGGATTTATTGAGTGGCCACTTGTTAGGCATTTTTGATTTCTCTTGACTAGATAAACAATTGGAATACAAGTAAAACTAAACTAAGTTCGGAGTTGCTTCGTTTATTTTTTTGTAAAATGTGTCGACAAAATAGTAATCTTGTTCTTGTAATTTTCGTAAAAAATTATTTCTTTCTCTGTCGGACCACTGGTCGAACCAGACAGAAAATAATTTTAATTGGCACCTGAAAATATTTGGACAATTTTCACGCATGGACAGATAATCTAAACATTCTGTGAGAAAAGACACGTTATTAGGTAGTGCCTTTTCTAAAAGAAGTGCTAAAAATTTATCTTTCTCTTCACTGTCCCAAGAGGAAAACCAATGCAAAACAGTTCGAGCTTCAGTTTCGGTTACATTCAATGTCATAAGGCCCAAAACAGCTATCAATCAACTCTGAAAAAAATATTTTAAAAAATAATTGTTTATTCAAGTCCATTAAACATTAGTACATTTCTTTAAATTTAATATATTAATGTAAATTATTACAATCTGTAAAAATATTTATATTCAAATACAGTGAACTCTGCTTTTACGAATTAACTGAATCTTAGAAATTCATCGAGATAACTTCCATAAATTGGGATTATATTAAGATTATAACTTGAAGCTACATAATGCCAAAAAGAGATTTAGTTATAAATAAGATTATTATTAATTTATAATTACAACTTAACTAGAAAATCTGTAAATGTTGAAAAAAAAATATAATCATTAATTAATATTTTAATTACAATTTATTTATCCTTGAAAGTTATATTTCATTATTACAGTAGGGTTGAAAACTGGTTCTCAAAATCTGGACTTAACCCAGTTTTGATTATTACTTTTGGAACTGGAAACCAATGGGCATATTCAAAGTCTTGGCATCAATCTAGTAGTATGCTGCCAAAAGTGACAAGACTGCTGGTGTTTTCGAGAGAGCACAAATGCTGACTGCCAGGACACTGGGAAAGAAAAACCAAAAAAGTGGCAAATGATGTGGTGTTCCGTGTTATGTTAAATCTATCTTTGAACTTATTCAATGAGAAGAGTTTAATGAAATATGAAAATTTTGAAAACAGAAAGATGACAATATTTTAAATTTCCATAGGAGTTATAAATAATGAAATCAATCCTAATATTACACTTTAAAAACTAAATAAAATCTAGCAATGAGTTGCATAACTTCTCTGGCTGTTAAGTTTTTATTTAAAAAATAACTTTTATATTATTAAGCAAAAAATAAAATTGTGGGGGGTACCATCTGTTATCAGATTTTGTTATAAAAATTTTTTANTTTTAATTGGCACCTGAAAATATTTGGACAATTTTCACGCATGGACAGATAATCTAAACATTCTGTGAGAAAAGACACGTTATTAGGTAGTGCCTTTTCTAAAAGAAGTGCTAAAAATTTATCTTTCTCTTCACTGTCCCAAGAGGAAAACCAATGCAAAACAGTTCGAGCTTCAGTTTCGGTTACATTCAATGTCATAAGGCCCAAAACAGCTATCAATCAACTCTGAAAAAAATATTTTAAAAAATAATTGTTTATTCAAGTCCATTAAACATTAGTACATTTCTTTAAATTTAATATATTAATGTAAATTATTACAATCTGTAAAAATATTTATATTCAAATACAGTGAACTCTGCTTTTACGAATTAACTGAATCTTAGAAATTCATCGAGATAACTTCCATAAATTGGGATTATATTAAGATTATAACTTGAAGCTACATAATGCCAAAAAGAGATTTAGTTATAAATAAGATTATTATTAATTTATAATTACAACTTAACTAGAAAATCTGTAAATGTTGAAAAAAAAATATAATCATTAATTAATATTTTAATTACAATTTATTTATCCTTGAAAGTTATATTTCATTATTACAGTAGGGTTGAAAACTGGTTCTCAAAATCTGGACTTAACCCAGTTTTGATTATTACTTTTGGAACTGGAAACCAATGGGCATATTCAAAGTCTTGGCATCAATCTAGTAGTATGCTGCCAAAAGTGACAAGACTGCTGGTGTTTTCGAGAGAGCACAAATGCTGACTGCCAGGACACTGGGAAAGAAAAACCAAAAAAGTGGCAAATGATGTGGTGTTCCGTGTTATGTTAAATCTATCTTTGAACTTATTCAATGAGAAGAGTTTAATGAAAAATGAAAATTTTGAAAACAGAAAGATGACAATATTTTAAATTTCCATAGGAGTTATAAATAATGAAATCAATCCTAATATTACACTTTAAAAACTAAATAAAATCTAGCAATGAGTTGCATAACTTCTCTGGCTGTTAAGTTTTTATTTAAAAAATAACTTTTATATTATTAAGCAAAAAATAAAATTGTGGGGGGTACCATCTGTTATCAGATTTTGTTATAAAAATTTTATAGTTTTTATTCTTGTAAAATGACAAAAGTCTTAATTTTAAAGGAAAGAGAAGCATCTGTTTGATGTAAGATGTTGGATTCGAACAGCGCAGCACAAATTCTCCCGATCACAGAATTAGATATTTTTATAGATAACTCTTTTTGTATATTTTCTATATTCATCATCAAGAATTTTTAAAATTTTAATCATTTTATAATTGTAATAGCTTATATGTTTCCAAAATCCACTCAAATATATCACTATATATACTGGACACTCCACAAAACTTATATTTTTTTATTTAATTTTGTATAGAACAAAGGAGTTGGATTATATTTTTAATATCTACAGTAATATAAAATACGTTGTGCTGATTAAGTGTTTCCTTCCATCATATCATTATTCCAAACAGACAGAAAAACATGACAAATGCACATGTTTGGGATCTATACGATTAAGCTAACGGAGAAAGAAAAGAATTTTTATTATATAGGATCGACATATAGAAAACTATGGTTGCATCAGTAGTATAGGTTCGATAGACTTTGGGGTATACAGTCGACCCCCCTATAAGACAGTAGATACGTTCTATTCTTTAGGAATACGATTTCTTACGAGTCCTTCCAATCACAGCCCAGAACTTGTCAAGTTTACGGACTACGGCTGTTCAAAAGGTTTTCTTCCATAAAATTAATCGATTCTAGACTAATCCGACTTAACATTTCCAAAATACGTATATATTTTATTTTTTTTTTTGGAAATAATCCATATAAACTACGCTATAAACAAAAAATTGTAGGATTACTTACCGAGTGTGCACCNCTGTTAGATATACATAAAATTATTTAATGTTAAATGTAAATATACTAATACAGTAGACCCCCTATAACGCGGGTTCATATAATGCGGATTCGTATATCACGGCGAGAAAATTGTGAGCATATTTGTATGCTAAAAGAGACTCATAAAATGCGGTAAAACATCATCGCCAACTCGTGTCGCAACAGGATTGGTCGAATCTGGACCAATAGTGGACAAGCAGCCGAACTATTTACACACTACGGAGAGTTTAGGCAGGTAAGTTAAGTTTTTTATCATCTGTACAGTATGTAGGCCTAAATTAGGTACTGTAAGTCAAATACAGGTAATACCCCGAACTTACGCCATAGGTGGGACAGAGCGATAACCGCGTAAGTCGGGGTATAATTTCTCAATGTGTGTAAAATCCAAGTCGGATGTGTGTAAGCTAATAAATGCTCTCATTAATCTTATCTCATCTTTTGATTCGTTCATTGTTACAAGAAATCACCAAATAGAGTCTCTCGAATCTCCGTAGATATAACAAACACAGAAATAAATAACACAAAATAAATTGTAGCTGTGTGTTGATTCCGCGCAACACGTCCAAACATGTAAGTTGAACAATAGTGTGGAGGGAATGAGTAATCAAGAGTTGTGTGGTGCTCAAACAAAAGACAAATCGATGAGATTTGAAAATCGCATAAGTCGGGGTATCACTGTACAGTACTCTAATTTTATACATTTCTTGAGAAAAGAACATTTCTTATTCAATGGTCATAAAAATTATTTCTATTAATGATGACTCCAAAGTTCAACAAATTTTTTGCAAAAAAATAACTTATCAGAAAACGTGGCCGCCGTTTGGTGCACTGCTCCGCGACAAAAACAAGCTTAAGCAATGGCATCATCAAACGGTGCACACTCAGTAAGTAATCCTACAATTTTTTGTTTACAGCATAGTTTATACAGATTATTCCCAAAACATTATATGTGTTTTGGAAATGTTGAGTGAAATTAGTTTAAAATTGATTAATTTTATGAAAGAAAACCTTTCAAACAGCCGTAGTCCGTAAACTGCACATGTGCCAGGCTGTGATTGGCTCATGTATTTAAGGATTCCTACAACATGAAATTCTTATGAAGCGGAACGTATCTACCGCGTTATAGGGGGGTCGACTGTATATTAAAAATTATATTAATGTTTTAACCTAATCTTAATTTATTCAGAGTATAGTCATCAAGAGAAGTGATTTAAATACATAATTGTCAACATAAAACAGACTTATTATGAGTATCATGGCTTCATCTTTCCTGGTAGAGACCAGAAGTTGCCCAAGATTTTGAATACGCCCAATTGTCAAAGCCAGTACCACCAAGATAAGAAAAATTAAAATTGTGCTTAACTTTAAGTTATTCACCCCCAAATATATATATATATATTTTTTTTTCATTGAATTTAGAGAAAAATAACTATTTTCTCTAAATTAAATAGACAACATCACTCTTCATTAATAGAGAAATAATTTTATTTAGAAGTTAAAATATGAAAAAAGGATAAATTTAAATTCACAATTAACTTGGAACTTTTATTTTATAAGACTGAATATTAAATTTTGTTTTTCTAAATTTTTTGAATAGAATTTTATCTATTTTAATATTTTTTATTTCAAAGGAAATAAATAGTAATCAATTTATATATTTATTGATTACTATTTATTTCCTTTGAAATAAAAAATATTAAAATAGATAAAATTCTATTCAAAAAATTTAGAAAAACAAAATTTAATATTCAGTCTTATAAAATAAAAGTTCCAAGTTAATTGTGAATTTAAATTCATCCTTTTTTCATATTTTAACTTCTAAATAAAATTATTTCTCTATTAATGAAGAGTGATGTTGTCTATTTAATTTAGAGAAAATAGTTATTTTTCTCTAAATTCAATGAAAAAAAATATATATATATATATATTTGGGGGTGAATAACTTAAAGTTAAGCACAATTTTAATTTTTCTTATCTTGGTGGTACTGGCTTTGACAATTGGGCGTATTCAAAATCTTGGGCAACTTCTGGTCTCTACCAGGAAAGATGAAGCCATGATACTCATAATAAGTCTGTTTTATGTTGACAATTATGTATTTAAATCACTTCTCTTGATGACTATACTCTGAATAAATTAAGATTAGGTTAAAACATTAATATAATTTTTAATATACAGTCGACCCCCCTATAACGCGGTAGATACGTTCCGCTTCATAAGAATTTCATGTTGTAGGAATCCTTAAATACATGAGCCAATCACAGCCTGGCACATGTGCAGTTTACGGACTACGGCTGTTTGAAAGNAAAATCATCACAGGAAAGTAAATTGAACAAAACAAAATATTTTTCTATTATTAAAAGTACTTAATATATTTAGCAATTATTTTATTCATCCACCTGTGAATAAAGTTCAATGGAATATTAAAACAAGGGACAATGGTTTTTAATATGTTAAATATCAGTTTGGAATTTCTAAGTAAAAAAATTCATTAATAAAATTTCTAGAGTAAATTTTTAAGTAGGGTTTAAACATGTTCTATTAATTAATTTTAATAAACTTAAAATGTAATAATTTAATATTTTCCAAAATATTAAATTATTTTATTTATTTTGTTATTTATTTATCTTATTTTATATATTAACAAAATATTTTGGAAAATATTAAATTTAATATTTTCCAAAATATTATGTTCAACATAGCACAATTTTAATTTGTGTAATCATCATTCATACTTAAAGTTGTTGAAACAAGAAATTAAAGATCATAAGTAAATTTGAATCATCAGATATCACTTTTAATTTATATTAAGAGAAAAAAAAAGTGTATATTAAACAATGAAGACACTCTCAAACACCAAGACTGGTTAAAATCCCAACAGACTACTTGCAGGAACATTTTTGTCTGTTTAAAACAGTTTATACACATAGCCTGTTGAGATTTTAACTGGTCTTGGTGTTTGTGAATGTTTTTATTACATTTAACCAGTTAGTGTGGTAATGGATCTTATTAAACAATGATTTGGTAAGTGTAGCAATCTTAAATATTTTTCCAAAACTGAAATATTAAATCACCAAATTAAAACAACAAAATGCTACTGGATCACATTCTGCACTCCTCTAATTACAGGAAAATTATTCCTGGTTTCACTCTCTTATATAACATATCAAATTCTATGACTAATATCCTGTATATTGAGATATTTAAAGTTTTATAAAAAAATTTTTTATTTAGATAGAGTTAGATAACCTAATAAATAGGATTTAACAATTTGGAGGCCTTATCACACCAAGGCTGACCAAATAATAGACCAGATCTTTTACAAAAAAATTTTGTCTAATAATCACCTTCAAATTTAGGAAAGAATGCATTTCAGATACAAGGACTCCTCATCAGCTTACAAACATAGTACCAACTTAGCACATATAAATATAACACTAATAGTTAACCAAACCAATACAAAGGACTTTTTGATATATACAGTGCACTGTATTTACAATATTTAATAAAACCCATATACTAAAGAACTAAAAAATATCAAGCATAAAATAAGACATTTACTGGTCCCAAATAACGTGATATATCACATTATTATATTAAAAAAATTTTATGTGTAATCTGATGAGGAGTCCTTGTACCTTAAATGCATCCTTTCCTAAATTTGAAGATGATTATTAAAAACTAAATATTTTTTGTAAAAGATCTGGTCTATGTTTTGATCGGCTTTAGTATGATAAGCCCTCCAAATTGTTCAAATCCTATTTATTAGGCTATCTAACTATCTAAATTAAAGTCGTGGGCTAAAAGCATCATTTATTATTAAAAAAAGTTGTAATTTAAAATATTAACAGAATATATTTAGTATTGATATACGTATTTTATACATATTAATATATATGTATACACACATCAATAATAATTGCATACTAGTCACCATACTTCTGATATACCACCCTTTAAACCAAACAAGTTTGACAACTATATACATGTTGGTGAACTTGTTTAGAATCCAGAAACAAAATGTTAACTACATATATACTATTGTCTTTTATAAATATACTTTTAATTGTTCAACCCAAATTCTTTAATTTTTTTCACTTAAAATTATTTACAAAATATTAAAACAATTATTTGAAGGACAAAACACTTATATAAATACAAAGTATTTGGAATTTTTAGTTTGAAAATTGATTACTAATGTCTGAAATATAGAAATCAATTTTAAAGAAAGTTATACTAATGAAGTTCCTTTATGAAATCAAAAATCAACTAATTTATGATTAAATTCAGCAATTCATCATTTAATAATTGTCAGAGGCCAATTAAAGGAGGAAGTTATTTTAAAATTGAACAACACACTGATAAACAGAATCACTTTATTCTTCAGCTAAAAAAAAAATTATGAAAGTAAAATTTTTTGAATAAATTATCTACGTATAACTTCTGTTTTAAAGTATACAAGGAAAGTGGAGTTGATTAAGTATTAATAAAAGAAAAAAATTTTTAATTAACAAACTATATTAATATAAAAACTTCAATACCTATGAAAACATATATTAAATACAATCATCATATTCTTGAAAGCACAAGAAAACTCCATAATTGTAAAAATGATTTGGTAACAAATTCAAGGTAAAACTTAGTGTTTTATTACAAAAAATTAAAGCAATTATTTTGAAACTGACTATTGTAGTAATTATTATTGTGTTTTTCTTCTACATCATCAAATTCATTAGTACATAAGAATTTTAATACGTATTTCCAGCACCGAACAAAGTAATCAATATCAAACGATTTTCTTGTTTAACACGTTCACGACGTTACGATGCACTTGTGACTCGTATGGACATGTCTAGTTAGGGCAACAGACATAACTGCTTGTTTTTCCGTGGGACGGCACATATGTTTTGATAACATAATTCTACAAACATCATACTTGATATATCAATATTATTTTATTAGGTGCAATAAATTATATTAATTTAATAATATGAGGCATGGGTGACTCGTGCCACTCTGTATTAAAATAGACTACGAGTCACAGGTGACTCGTAACTCCCAGCAGCTGCCTAAACGTTTATCTACTGATGCTGTGAACATGTTAAACAAACTTTCATGAAGTAATTTAATGATCAAGTTGCAATAATACAAAAGTATACTTACAATTTTAGAACTCAAATTCTATACTACCATTTAATTTGCTCTTTACTCCAGAAACATTTAGAAAATTACAATGAAATATTTTAATTATAATTATTTGTGCTACTAAAATGATATTGAAATGCCATGATATTGAAAAAAAAAAAAAAAGCTTTAAATGCATTTCTTAAAAAGATCAAACTTTTCTCAAACAGAATTAAAAAATATGTTCTTTGTAATTTGCTCTTTACTCCAGAAACATTTAGAAAATTACAATGAAATATTTTAATTATAATTATTTGTGCTACTAAAATGATATTGAAATGCCATGATATTGAAAAAAAAAAAAAAAAGCTTTAAATGCATTTCTTAAAAAGATCAAACTTTTCTCAAACAGAATTAAAAAATATGTTCTTTGAAGTTTTACCTTTCTAACAGGATCAATTAAAGTAAATCTTGGACCACTACCACTTCAACTGATCACTTTGGAGATTCCCTATCGTCTTATAAGAAGCTAATGGATACCCATGCAGTCAGGTGGGCAACCAATTAACCAATTCCGTTCTTAAAATTTTTCAATCCTCTATAAAAGACCAGAATCTCTTTGGTACAGAAAATGGTCTTAGGAAAGTTTTATTGTAATTTTTAATGTATGTATTCAACATCCACATAATAAACTTCTAACAAAAATCAGAAAATTGTAAACTTGCCTTGTAAACATTAAAAATAATCTTGCAAAAATGATTTTAATTTTGTAATAAAATATTTTACATTTAGCCCATGAAATATTTCAAAAGTTACAAAAGCACATTTGATTTTTTTGAAACATTACCTAAGGGAATTTCAACTTTAGTAAATTTCTAGCGAAATATTTATTAAAATACTTTAGTACTAAATGTACAATTTCATATTAAATTTTATCATAAAACCTTATTTACAATCGATAAGCTTTCAAATACTCATTATCAGCATTTGCTATTTACGAAATAACTCAGACATTTTTAAATATAGATATTTAGGAAACAGACTTTTGAAATTTTCGAACAGTCTTTCGAGGAAGTCGAAAATGTTCACATCGCAAGTTCTCGAATACGTAGATTAACAGGTACAAAACACAGTCGGGACTCTTTTGGAGATGCCAACTGCACGTCCGCAGAAGCAAAAATGGTCAAAGTAATTGACAGTCCATGCCACCTTTTGCAGAACAGTATCCTAAAATGGGCCCGAGATTATGAAGCCCCTCAAAAGCGGGATAAAAGTATTTTTCACAAATTTACGAATAAATTCTCAAACTAGTCGAAGTTTTTATTTTCTGAAAATGCAGAGAACATACATGAGAGCAATTCTTCTTTTCTGTTTACTCTATTATTAACTAATTTAGAATATCTCATAGAAAAGCTAAGTCACGTTATGAAAAACGTTATCGAGAAAAACAATCTGGCTTTTACGAATTTAAAATATTTAATAAGTGAAACGATGTTTGACCATAAGCAGTGTTAATGAACCAGTTAAAAGGAATGTGGGTCAGGGAAACAATACATTAATGACGATATTCTATTAGATGATTATCATTCACTTCCTTATTACGAAAGCTTAGAATGAAAGTAACTTTTCCGTCAAGCAGCAATTACTTCCTTTAAATAACAATATAATAATATATTCAAAATATTTAAGTATTTATAAATATAACAGTCAAAATTATATTGTTAAATTTTATATTATAATCGACCACCTGCTAAAGTAAAAGAATTAAAGTTAGCTCGACTTTACTCGATATTTCCATTTTATCTTTGAAAATTTTACATTTTTTTTTAGTCTAAGAAATATAAAAAGTTAATTTCGTTACCAATAATATAAATCTAGTCTGCTCTCGACCGCCTCCTGCCTCGCTGCGAGATTTCCTTACACTTTCTACTGCGCAGTCGTCTTTTGGCCCTCTAACTACAGCGTTAATTTAAAATTGGAATATGTTATATCAATAAAAATTTAATTACTATTTCTTTTATTAATACATTTGTTATTTTTTACCTTTAAACGTAGAGAAATAATAATCGAGTAGCTTTTTTTATTTTCTTTCGTTATCCGTTTTGTGGGAAATATGAAGGCTTTCTCCCTCTTACCTATTGTGGTCTTGGCTACAAGACTCACAATGGCGGCTTATAGACTTAGTTTTAGCTTATAGACTCAGAATGGAGGCGGGGCAATGGTGAGAACGGGTCCGATAAATCCGGGAGAGAGAGCGCGCGCGAAAAATTCCTGAGAGTTCGTGACTCGAACTCGAACCCGATCTCTAGAACGTCCGGTTAACACATTTAGACACATGAAGAAAACTCGCGCGACAGGCCCGTTGGAAAGGCTGAAATCCGCAACCAACTACCAATGGTTATCATACAATATACAGTACTAAATATACATTGATTTTAGCTACTTGGCCAAGGGTGGATCCTGTAATGTTAAGATAGAAGACGAAAATAAAATTATTTTAAAAATATGATTTCATGACAATATTTTCATAGAAAGATACTGGAAGCGGAAATGACGACGTATTAGCATTTTGTAGTGTTCCGAAGCCAATAAAATTTGATTTTTTTATCTTTTGAATTTTCATATAAAAGTTGTATCTATAAGAGCTGTAATGAAATAAGAAGTACGTTTTTTCGGCGTGGGAATATATGGTAAATATGCAAAATAAAATAGTAAACGGGGCAATCTATTAATTATGTGTACAGTTTTGAGCTATTTTTGATTTCCCTGTTGTGTACAATAGTGTATTTTTAGAAAACCCTGCCATCTTTACTTACGTGTACATTGCCCCACCCGACACAGACGGCCTTATGCCAAAGTGATTAAAATGCTCTTAGGACTCGAAATCTAATCCGAATAAGTCAAAAAAACCGGGGGAATTTTTCTGGAGTGGTTTGTCTGGATATATCCGGCCCAGTCCTTCATTATCGGACCGTTCCATTAAGGGTCTGGTTAACTTTGTAATAGTCTGGCTAATATAGGTCTTATTAGTGCCCACAGAGTAAAGTGGAAAAAGTCTGAGATTCGTCTTTTTCAATTAGACAGAATGCTTTTATTTGAGTTACGTTTAAAGTAAGCAAGAATCAACCAAGTAAAGAAGCCGAAGAAGAAAAGCCAGAAGGAGTAAAGTTTCAAAATTATATTATATATAATGTCAAGTAATATGTACTTAAATTATTTTCGGGCAAAGTTTTTCCATATTCGAAAGAATGCATCTAAAAACTGCATAATGCCTGTGACTTGTTCAGTTTCATTTAGCAAAAATACAGTATCTCTTCTGCTACAGGGCAATGCCCATGGTGATATTCTCTAGCTTTCTGACAACCCGTCCTACTATAACTCCCAAAAGAATTTACCTACATTGCTAATGACTGATGCAAGAAGCATCATTCTGTCTACTTTTGTTTAAGGCAATAAATTTTTGAAATATTTTGTATCGTTTATACTTTTTTGTCCTATAACGACTCGAGATGCACTACAGCAGCAAGTTTAACGATATCGTAAAAAGTCTTAATTCGCTTGTCAGTAGTAAGACAAAAATATGCGATAGGCTTTGGATAATCACCATGGATTTTGGTCTGATGTTTGAGTAATGTTCTTCTGTATATCATTTCGAACGTTTGCATTCGAAATATCATAAACGAAATAAAATTTATTCTAAACTCGACAGAAATTAACAAACTGAATGTAATGTTTCTAATAGTCGATAAAATCAAATCAACTACTCTTAACCACTAGAAAATGGCTCAGAAAAGAGCAATTTCGTTGCTAGATTATAAAAATCTAACAGTCCCGTTATATATATTGGGTCTACTAATTAAAATATCCGATTTTATCGACGACCGACTTTTTTCGGCCCGTACTATGCAGTGGAGTGCCGTGACATTTGATGATAGGGAATTTGTGTTTCTATCTGTGTTTCTATTAGGGAATCTGTGTACGACTTCCAGAGGCAATCAGTTAATTCTTTAATTTATCTGACGTAATTAATAAATAACAGAGGTAATTATATTGAACTTGTTTATTAGATTCAATAGATTCCCTATGCCCTCTAAATGCCGATTCTTGCTTTGATAAAAACATATAACATCTATTAATTTAAACATATCTATTAGCCGTAACTATTTCGTTATATTTTCAATATTTATTTTATATTATTTACTAATGCTAAATTCTATTCTGCTTTGATTTCCAAATTGCTTCAAATACGAAAGAATCGATGATTTTTCGTGTCTTTTGTCAGCTAAATTGTCAAAGCCATTCTTATTCCACACACTAATTTCATTTGAAAATAGTAGGCAAGCCAACAAAATAATTTTTGCATTTTTATGCATTTACAGAGCCATTTTATCGTGAAAATGTCGAACAAATTTTTTTATTGAAACGTTTATATTTAACTTAGGCATTGGCCTTTCTCTTTTAATAATGTTTTCTTTTTCATTATATGATCTTGAGCCAAAACTTTTTAAAAATAAATTTTCAATATCGCAATTACATTCGGAATCGCTAGCCACGATATAAGGGTTAAAATTAAAAATAAAATTATAAAAATTTACTTGATGAAATAAAATGTGTGGTGGATTTACATACCTGGTACAAATATTCTTCAATTGTATGAATATACTTTTAAAGAAAATTATATAATTAAATATAGCTTTGTAAAAAAACGTGCATAAAAATAACGTAAAATCTTCTTTACTTTTTAAATCTTAACCACTTAAAGTCAAATAGCTCCCTACGAGTGGAATCAGAGACGGTCCTGCTAGGTGTGCAGTGCGTGCATACACGCGGGCTGCTAAATCCCGAGGGTGCCGATACCGGTTAATGTCAAATGCCTCTTTTGTCGCATCACTAGTATATCTCAAAGGACGCGATAGGATTGTTGTAAATTTTAAATGTTTCTCACCATAGCTGTAAAAGTCTAAATATGTTAAACTTAATAGATTGTCCATCATTTGTTTTCTAATTTGTTTTAGGACTAGGTATCCACGGAAATATCCAAAATTTATAACTTTTCGGTCACTCTCGTTGAACTGGAAAAATTTCTGTCTTTATTACATCTAATATTTTGAAGAAATCAGTCTCACTGTACTCGGCTAGAGATTGATTAAGCTTTTGTTTAAGTAAAATTTCAGCTCTTTCGTCAGGGTTTTGTTTATGTCCCCAATTCCCTAATTGCTTAATTATTTAACTACTTCTTAAGTAGAAATAAGTCGAAACCGGTTACTTTGTACTCGAATATTTGTAGTCTTGAGAAAAAAGTGGAAAGACAAATTTTTATGACAACGGATACATAAATCGTNTCAGGGTTTTGTTTATGTCCCCAATTCCCTAATTGCTTAATTATTTAACTACTTCTTAAGTAGAAATAAGTCGAAACCGGTTACTTTGTACTCGAATATTTGTAGTCTTGAGAAAAAAGTGGAAAGACAAATTTTTATGACAACGGATACATAAATCGTAAATTTAAGGAAAATAAATTCTAGAGCTGTACCTCATGCATCTCTCTCATTCATTAAATTTAGTTGTAGATGATGCTGTCAAAGTAACAGTTAATTTTTAAATTATACAAAATTTGTACACGTTTTTTTCTACATCCCCTTAAAGATGGGACGCACGAAATCGTAATATCACTGGTTTAACATCGAAATCCGTGAGTAATATAAAATCTGAGAGCGGAATAAAAATATCAAATATTTTAATGGATTTTTTAAACTCCTGTCAACTATACAGAACTATCATAAAAACATACCAGTAAATTCTTATCGGTTGGGTTAAGTTATAAATCTACTCGTGATTCACGTAATCGGGCGAGAGCAGCCAAATATCTAGCGGGCAGGCGGCTAACAGCCCAGAACCGGTCCTGGATAGAATTGGATGCGGTATACGTGTAGCATCCACCCAAGGACAATATACTACAAGGATAGCCAGATCCCTATTCTACAATGTTAGCCAGGAATGGCAAGTTAGTGACGTCACACGTGTCCTGACCTCTCTGTTTACATAGAGCAAAGTGTGCACGTGTTTAGTTTTCGCTTTTAATATTCATCCAATTTTGTGATTAACGAAGTGATTTATTTTAATATTTCTGTAATTGTTTTATTTGACTAAGTTTTTTATAAGGTAAGATGATTTAAATATAAGTCATTAAATATTTAAAGCTATATTTTTATGTTAGGTGAAAAACAAAATACTGAGTACTAGGTGTGCTGTGTATGGTTGCAATAATAACCTTCTTTTCTCAAATTGGAAGCAACCTGTTTACATCGGGTTTGATCAAAAATGACAAGAGAAATACTTTTAAAATTAATAGCAGAACTTTATTTACTATCGTATAATGTAGTAGCTTGTGTCTGTAGTTGCACATTATTGTGTCTGTAGACATTATTGTGTCTGTAGTACAGTGACTGTAGTTGCAGTAACATAAGTTTATGGAAAGAATTGAATGTGAATATCAATGAAACGTTTATTATGAATCAATTGTTATTATCAATGAAACGTATATTAAAGATATAAATATGTAGTTCGACATTTTTAATAGCTATGCACCAAAAGGTTCTGTTCCAAGCAAAAATAGATATGGTGTAGACTTGGAATTACAAGAAGAACATTTAAATAAAATGATAAAAATAATCTCAACAATGAGAGCAAGTGGAAAAAATGCCCTCCAAATTTTCCAGAAAGGAATGATAATCTCAATGAAATCGCTAATTGATCTTTTTCAAGATATGAAATCGACTTTTGATATAAAATACATCTGCACTTAAATCAAGATTGTCTGGAAAACTTTTTTTTTCAAATTAGAAGCCGGGGTCCTAATGAACATCCAAGCCCATTAAATGCTATATATAGGATTAGATTGATTATTTTAGGTAAGAATCCTGGTATTTTAGAGTCAAAAGTAAATACTACAGATCGAAGACAAGAGGAATATATTATACCCAAAGTTTTAGAGAAAGCACATGTAGAAGTATCAAGTGAAAATACAGACCAATATACTGAATGTAAAACTACTTTTTCTTCAAATAAATCTTCAGGAAACTCTACATGCAATCTAGACTTTAACACAATCTCTGAAGAAACTTCCTACGATGCTCTCGAGTATATAGCAGGATATTTTGCCTATAAATATAAAGAAAAATACCCAAACTTAATTAATTCCACTAACAAAATTAAAAATCATTACAACTATAGCATTCCGTCATGGGTGCAACATTTATCTTATGGAGGGCTTATTAAACCTACTGATGAATGGCTAGCAAAAATTATAGAATGGAATAAATATTTCGAAATATATCACGATGAATCGTATAAAAAAGGCCCCGGAGTTGTACAGAATTAGTCAGTGGAAACAGTTTTACCTTTTACTTTAATAAAAGATTTTTGTAAATTAAGAACTATAATAAGAATTAATTATAGAAATCTTAAACAAGAAAACTATAAAATATTGAAAAGAATGCCTTCTGAAAATGGTGATTGTCGAAAAAAAATTAAAAAGTTAAGTAAGATAATCACATAATAAAAAATATAGCTCATTAATTTGTTAAATAAATATTAGACAAAAGACTTGTAAATTTATTGACGTACAGTACACTTATTAAATCCGAAAATTCTACAGTAGTTTACATTTAGTAGTAATTTAATAATTAATTAAGAAATGATTTAATATTTTATCGTATTTTGTTATTTGAAAGGTCTGTCATGTTGAAGTAGAGGAATTGCTGTGACGTCACATAGATCCAAGGTCATGCTAACAAATATACGGGATCTGGCCATCCTTGTAGTTTAAAGTCCTTGGCATCCACCCAATGTCCTAGGCTTCCACTGGCTAAACCGGGTGAGGTTGGTGCTCTGTAAAGCGCATGCGCGAATCTGGCTTTTTGGATGCTGACGATACAGCGCTTCCACTCCGACACTAATATTCGAATATACAATAGCAATCTTATCTTTTTTTCACGTGTAGTATAGAAATTTGTAATAAGATACATAATGCGGTTATAATAAAATATTGCGCGATTATTTTCATATAATTAAAATTAATATGTATTTATTTTTTAGAAAATACAAGGGAAGCGGCGCATCCACCGCTTCCAATGACGGCACGCCACTGGTACTGTGTTGTCTTCGAGGTCTAAGCCTTTTGTATGCTTGGATTTCCCTCTTTTTTTATTTCTCTTCCACCTCAGTCTAGATCGAATTGTCCTGTTCTTTCTGTCGACCTTCTAGATTTACTGCGTTTTCAAGATATTAGGCGTTTTTAGCGTGATCTCTGTAACGATTTTCAGAGAATTCCCAGCTTTACAAAAATATTTTTCAAACTATCGTTGGATTTCGTATGCGGAGAGATGGCGACTTGGTTTTCTTCTTTTGTTAATCGGAGAGTGGTCCACGACGATCTTAAGAACGAAAGAAGCAGAAGAACGAAATTCCACGTTCTCCAACGATATTTGAATATCGTCGCGTTCTGTGACGTTCGAAATTTAATTTGAAACATAATTTCTATAATTTGAATATTAAAAAGTCATCTTTTTAGAATTTAAAATGTTTGATTCTGTAAAACAAATTCTGTATTTCACACTAAACAAATATTTTATAAAGTTTTAAAAAGTTTATTTTATAAAGATTATAAAGTTCAAATTGAATTTATTAACTTCTTTAAGGGTTAGAAATCTCCGAAACGGAAGAAAATATATTAGTTAAAGTTATATTTAACAAATCATAAAATGAAAATAGCATATAAGTAGTTTTTACAAAATAATTTCGTATATCCTTTTGTAATAATACAATTGAGGTTATAATCAAGTACAGAGCTTATAGTAAAAAATTTTAGTACAACGAAAAATGAAATACAGTATCTAGTCAAAGAGAGTCTTTTAACCGCTCGCTCGTGCGCAAATTGGTTAGTGCTTACCAAAGAATATCTATTAAAAAAAAAAAAAAACATACATACATCTACATTTACAAGTATGATGTTTAGCATTTTTTAACACGTAATAAATAATTACATTATTATTTTTTCAATATGGAATAATTTTATTTTAAGCTGGCAACGTGAAAAAAAACCATTTGGCAACAACACGTGGGTATGCGGTGGTAAAATGGCAATTCCTTCGTGTTGTTTGTCTTATTTCAGAACTCCGATTTTACCGAATAAACGGGTGAATATTACGCACATATGTTCCAGAAAATGTAATTTCTTTCTGTTTAAGCATTTTAGACGATTTAAAAGCGATGTGCCGTTCACAAAAATTTCTCCGGGAGAAGTCAACGTAGAATTTAGTTCGGGGTATGATTATATGTATTTATGTAATTATTTAAATATATACTTTACTTTTTACTTCAATTAATGTGAAATTTAAAGCATTGTGCTCTACACATACAAATATCGTTAGAATAAGTAAACGGGAATTTTAAATTACGTTATAACGATCTTAAACATTGTAAGTCAAGGGCACCGAATACATTGTTTAGAATTTTTTCTAAACGCTAAGAGGATATTTACGCAACTAAAATTAAAACGTTAAGTGATTTTGCCGAGTAAATTGTTTTTTGTGCCGTTACTAGACCGACTGATTTCCTATGTGAAAAAGAACTACCAATGGACGTGAAAAATGGTAAGATGTGAACTCCGAATGAGGGATTTGACGTCGCTCCTAGAGTCGTAGGTGGACCTTCCCTCTGTGGATGGATGGTCTGTGGCTCCAATGGGGTCCTGATGTCTGATCTGGTGGTATACTTAAAAAAAACTGTCATTCACAGAAAAAGAAATAGCGTATTCTTGTATGCTTATATTTTTGGTTAAGCTTGTGATTCTGTAATATTTTTGCTTCCCGGAGCACTGACTGTTTTACCATTCAGGTGTCTTGGGAGTGTTGTCCGATTTCAGTGGACGGATGACCAATGAGAATTAAGTGCCCATTTTGGTGGGAAGGATTTAGACCCATGTCAAATCGGAAATTTTGCTTGGAAGTGTGGTCTGGATGTGCCTTATTACTCTCTATTGTCTCTACTTACATTTGAATGTTCTTGTGATTTTATAGGATAGTGGTGTCCAAACTTTTTCAGTGGTGGGCCAAATTGTGCATAAGCCATGGGTAGATGGGACATATGTGTATATATTATATATAAAAAAAGTAGACCTATTTCTATTATTTGTAAGTGATGTGTTGACAGGATGGTTGAGAAGGGGAGCAGGAACAGGGGTTTCTCCCTGGGCCCAGGGAAAATTTACGGGCTTATCTTTATAAATTAATGTTATTTTTACTAACAAAAAAAATAAGATTTTTAAGACTGCTTTTTATTAATAAAGAAACATTCTATATATTTTATTGTTCAAGAAAAAATGGGCAAAAGAGGCCCACTCTATCATAGGTCCGTTATAAGCTCTCGATGGCCTTGTGTACTAGATTTGGCTTAGGGGTCGTAGTTTCGGCATCATCGGTATGAGCCGCAACACTGACAAATTGACCAGAATTGCAGAAAAAAGAAATAATTCATGTGCAAAAGCAATAGTGTGGGCAGGAACAGATTTTCAGACTGTCTGCCTAAAAAATGAGGTTGTCATTCATTTTTTAGGCAGACAGTCTGAAATGTAAGGAATTTCAAAAAATGAAATATTGTAACATAAGTCAAAACAAGTAAATAATCCTATGTTGAAAGGAGCATAATATACAATATGTGATGCTATGCTCATCTTTTACCTTCAAGGGGCAATACTTTGTCCCATCATATTTTGGTAATTTATTCTACTAATTGTTTAATTAATACAGGTAACCCCCGTATAACATGGAAGTTACATTCCAAAAAATTGCCGTGTTATGTGAATCCGTGTTATATAAAACAAAGAACTAGTGCAAAAAGGGGGGTTAGGTTCCAAAAATTAAAAAACATGCTGTTAAATCCTTATTTAAATCAGATTTTTTATTCATTTTTTCATAGGTAAAATACTTATTATTTAAGTAAATATTTTACCAGAGGATTATTCATCGTATATGATGATCTCAGCATGAGCATCATCAACTGGTAACAGTTTTTGGGTGCGTTCGTTAATAGCAGTCACTCTGCAATGGGAGTGCATTGCTGTTTGTAGGCATTTAGGAACAACAGTGAAAGAAAGATGGCGGTGCCCACACTGTCGATAGTATCATGATTGTAGATGTTTCAGTGCATTTATTAATGTTGTTGGTTTGTTTGTTTAGTGTACTGATAATTAGTGTAATATTTTGGCAATACAACAGTGAAATTGGTTACAAAATGCCCTTGTTGTTAGTTTATGCTACAAAAATACCTTTTTTAGCGCAAGAGTTAATCAGGGGCAGATCCATAAAGGGCTATAGGGGCATAAGCCTGCTTCACTGACACAAAGAAAGTTAAAATTTACAGTAGAACTTCTCAAACTCAAGCATCTGTAATTCAAATACAGTGGTGCCTCATATAACGTATGCCTTGAATAACGGACACTGCGAACAACGGACTTTCTGTTTAGCCATTAAGTGACTCGAGCAACAGACTGGCTGCGAACAACGAACTTTCCATTCGGCAGTTACGTGAAGCGAACAAGTGCGAATGATGTTTCCACTCTTTTGCTGTTGCCAATGACAATCTGCTATTTTTATAATATATTATTGGGTTGTTCGGAAAGTAATTTCGTTTTTTTACCACTAGACGGATTAGTCATATTTTTCCCGCCATTTTCATTCTAAACTGTATTATCCTTATATATTTTGACAGCTAGCATTTTAAGGCTTATTTGTAAAAAAATTTTGTTTGATTTTGTACAATTGTTTATTTTTTTGTGTCCCATCAAATATGGAAGATCGAAAGCAGCATTTTCGGCATATTTTGCTCTTTTATTACTGAAAAGGTAAGAATGCTGTTCAAGCAAGAAAAAAATTACGTGACGTGTATGGAGAAGATGTGTTGACAGAATGACAGTGCCAAAACTGGTTTACAAAATTTCGTTCTGGCAATTTCTGTATTGAAGATGCACCACATTCTGGATGGCCAGTTGAAGCCAATGAAAACAAAATAAAGGCACTGATTGAAGCAAACTGCCGAATAACAACACGTGAAATCACTAAGTGATTAAATTTGTCAAAGTAAACTGTTTATGATTACTTGAAACAAATTGGTTTCGTTTCAAAGCTCGATATATGGGTTCCACATGTTCTTAGAGAGATGCTCTCTTTGGTGGGATTTTAAGGAAATTTTGTTTTTGGAGCTTTTACCAGACAATTTAACAATTGATTTAAAAGTGTACTGCCATCGAGTAAACAAATTGAGTAATATCATCAAACAGAAAAGGCCAGAATTGATCAACAAAACAGATGTAATGTTTTACCATGATAATGTCAAATTTCACGCAACTTTGGTAACTCGTCAGAAACTGTTATAACTTAGATGAGATGTGCTATCACACCAACCATATTTGCCAGATCGAGCACACTCAGATTATTACTTGTTCTGGTCTATACAAATTTTTTTTAACTGTAGACATTTACTTGAAATGACAATGTCAAAAATCACTTGGATCAGTTTTTTGTAAGCAACGATCAAAACTTTTATGAATGTGAAATCATGCTACTACCAGAAATGATGACAACAGGTATTTGACCAAAATGGTTGATATATAATTCAATAAAATATTTATTTATTATAAAAATATTGNTCATTTCTGACAGGTGTTGAAGAAGAGGGAGAAACAGACCACCTTGTACATGTTTTTCAAGAAGCCAGCTGCCAAAAAACAGAGGATGGAACAAGAGGAGTTGACCCTGCAAGCTCCGGTAGCCTCTCCTGAATCTGACTCCGATTAAAAAACAATAAAAAGAGACCTGCTGCAATGTGTAAAATGTCTGTATCTGTATGAATGTGTGAAAAAAGTGTTTCTCCACCTCCTCCTCACAACATCTGACTACCCAGCATAATTGGTGACTGCTCCATTTTCATTTTTTTTATGGTACAATACAGTTATTTCATGCTGCAGAATGAATAATATGTTTTAACATGTATTTCTATGGAAAAATGCATTTCGTATAACGGACTTTTCACTTAATGGACTTGCACCTGGAATGGATTAAGTACATTATACGAGGCACCACTATGTTTCATTAACTTGAAGAAAACAAAGCACTTGGTAGGTCTCAATGGAATAGCATAGGGATTTAACATCTCTAACTTGAATTTCTTTCTTGAATTTTCTCTAAAACAAAATTTTCGTGGCTTCTGATGCTGATTTATGTTACTTCCCTGACTTAAGTTTTAATGTTTATTCTATCCAAAATGATGCTAATTATTGGATTTTTATGAAATTTTCAGTCAGTTAGTTGTATCTACTCTCCAATATCAATTTTTAAACAATGTTCCAATCCATGTACATCTTGTTGAAATAAAGCGAGAGGACCTCTTGCTTCATCTCAGTAAAATGTACCTGTTAAACTGTAAAACTGTTTGATTCCATTAGTTACATGAAACAGTTTGCTGAAAGGCATTACACGGGCTGTTTAAAACAAAAAAAAAAATTATCAAAGAGTCTTTATATAATGCAAGCAAGGTAAAAGTACAAATCTATTCAGAATTGGCTTTTTTACTCTATTGTTCTCTAACTCAAATTGTCTGTAACTTGAAGTTTTTTCCTACCCTTGTAGCTTCAAATTAGAGAAGTTTCACTGTATTTGTTTGACCTACAAAATATTGTTTTTGAAGGCATTAACGACAGCAAATATTGAGTAAGTATTATTGCCTTACTGTCTTTTAATTTCTTAATATATATTTTTTGTAAATATATAATTAATGTCCAAGTTGACAAAAAATATATATTAAGACAGCAAATGTTGTTTATTTGATCATCTGCAATAAAATTGCCTTTCACATAATAGGATACTGTTTTCCTTTCCCTATTAAAACAAATCAGTATGAAAAATGTACACCATGAAAATGAAACTTAAGACAAAACTCCATCTTTTAATGTCACAAGAAAAAATTGATTATACAAAAACATTTTTCTTATAAATCATTTATTTATTTAATAAAGAATATGGGTTTATTTATTTAATGCACATATTGTATTTTATGTAATACAGTCGACCCCTCTATAACACAGTAGATACATTCTGTTCTTTATGGAATTGATGTTCTAAGAGTCCTTGAATACATGAGCCAATCACAGCCCGGCACATATGCAGTTTACAGACTACAGCTGTTTGAAAGGTTTTCTTCCATAAAATTAATTGATTCTAGACTAATTCGACTAAACATTTCCAAAACACATATAATTTTTTGGGAATAATCCATATAAACTATGCTGTAAAAAAAAATTGTAAGATTACTTACCGTGTTTGCACCGTTCGGCGATGCCATTGCTTAAGCTTGTTTTTGTCGTGGAGCTTATCATCGAATGGCGCTCACGTGCTTCCTGATAAATTATTTTTTTTTGCAAAAAATTTGCTGAACTTTGGAGACATCATTAATATAAATATAATTTTTATGGATGTTAAATAATAAATGATTTTTAGTAGGTCCGCTGCTCGTTTAAACTCAACAATTTGTACAATATCCACTATTGGTCAAGATTCGACCAATCCTGTTGCGACACGAGTCAGCGATGATGTTTTACCGAATTATACGAGTCGTTTTGGCATGTTTGTACGAATACAGTCGCAATTTTTTTGCTGTGATATAGGAATCTGAACTATAGGAACCCGTGTTATAGGGGGTCAACTGTAATTTATTTTTAATAAGAAGCTAAAATTAGCAATATTTGTTGGATGTAATCAGTCACTTTTATAACCACTTAAAAGGGATTTTTGGACAAATAAGCCAAAATGTTGTGTCCTTTGAATCGAATGCTCACCAGAGTTCAAGAATTACTCAGAAATGATTAATTCTCAGATATTTTATTTATTTGCATTTTAAATTGGAATTCTTGCCAATCCCTCTTCAGTAATAGGTACAATCTGCGACAGAGCCCACACCAATAATTTGGACTCACCGATATCAATCACAGGGATTACTGTGATTGACGTCGATGAGTCCGGAAGTACTGTACATGTGGACTTCCAGAACACCAGATTAATTAGGCAGGCCTTTTAAACAGACTATATCCATAGCCTGAAGGCTTGGGAAATTTATAAAGCCAACTTGAAAGACAACTGTATTAACTTTAAAGACTGCACATGCATGGAAGTACCTGTACGAGAAATTGAACGAAGTCAATCAACTGCATGAATTTGATATATTCAAAGTTTAAAGTCGAGCATCATCGTTCTAATGTTCCAATTTTTGGAAGTCAGTTTTGTTAAACACCTGAGGCAGGCCTTTGTGAAAGCGAAAACATTCGGAAATTACGTTAAAGTTCAATTACTGGTTAAAAAGGTTTTGTGTGTGATAGTTTATTGTTCCTAATAATAATTGCAATTTATCTTTATATATTATTACAACTACAGTATTTAGGGTAAACTATAATTTAAAAAATATTTGCTATTAGTATATGATATCCATTATATATTTTCAAAAATATAACAAAATATAAGATAAAAGTTGTGTTTTATTGTTTAAGTAGAATTCCGCTAAGAATTAGTACAGGAAAACTTGCTCGATTCAGTGATGGTTGTGCCGTAGCTCAAGTTGGTGACACTTCAGTTATGGTGACAGCTGTGAGTAAAATTAAATCTACAACAGCATCATTCTTACCGTTAACAGTAAGTTTTATATGTTGAATTCTTATTTAAAACTTTTGAAAAATTTTGTTTTTATAATTACTAATATAATCTAAAAAGTCATTTTAAAAAATTAAATTTTGACTAATTAATTATAAAAATAAATATTTGCTGAACATGTTAGGTAATTATTGTCGCAACTATAAATAAAAAGTAAACTGTTTTTAAGTATACATTACATTCATATTGCAGAATATGAAAAGAAATATTATTAAACCATCTTTACATAATAAACTCATCAGATAGTAAAATGTGATGGCATGATGATTCAAGTGTAGGTAAATTAGGTTGATTGATTGAATTTTTTTTGGCACAAGAGCCATACAGGATCTTGTGCCATGTTAATTGTAAACTTGTAAGAGTATGTTATTGTGAAATGACACAGAACAATTTAAGTTGTTGGTGATGCTATTTTTAACAAAGAACAAGAGAAGTGAATGTTATTATTCTTTGCAAAAACATTTTTTTGAACATTAAATTAATAAAAAGAATCAAGGGCATAATAATAATAACAATAACAACTCTCTCGTGGTCACCACCTGATCATGGTGGGAGAGCCTAGTAATTTTACTGATTCATAGGGCAATGCAAGCTGGAGCATAAGCTCCTGGTAGGGACACCCATGCCAGTAAGGTCTATGGGGAGAAATGAAGCTAAGAGTGACCACACCCACATTCTGTGGAGATAATTATCATGGTAGTAACCAGATCTAAGTATGATACCGGCTCGGATGTCGCCCGGGTTAACAAGGTCCGTGTTTGTGGGTTAGGCAGAGGCTCACGTTTAAAAAGTAGGCCAGAGTCGCCTTTGGTTACTGGTGGTGAAAGCAGCACTGGTCAAGCATGGCTACTGCAATTCCCTCAACAGATGCGAGGAACCAACCTAGCCTTGGTGTTTCTCTGTGGCAATGCATCCACAACCACAAAGGCTGGAAAACCATGCCAATGGATGAAATGGACAACAGAAATGAACAAGTTTATTATCAGTACTTACTACGCCATCACAAAACTCGAAACAAACATGACAGCTTATAGACAACAACTATACCATAGATTCACACAACAATATCCTCACCTCACTGTCACGAACAAAGGGTTGTTGATAAAAAAAAAGCAGTTATACACAAAACCTTATCCCACAAACAACACTTGAACTTATCAAACAACAGGTTGCTGATCAAATACATCAACAAACAGAAATATTTAACTTTAATGAGGATCACATAACCTGTCAGGATAATCCAGCAAAAAGCACTGATTATAGCATAAGTACAACAACTACCACTAATCATACTACAAACACTTCCTCATCCACCACTGACAACATAGACATAGATTTAGTTAATACGCTATCACTTTTATTATAGGAAACTCTCACTAAATATACAGGTACAGATCCCACACAAATACCAAAACTCAATGTGTCTAAGGTAATAGGAAAAACACTAAATTATGTAAACAATCACTTACTACCACACTCCATTTAATTTCTACACTCTCAGACATTCATACATTAGTTTATGCTGGGACAGTCACAGTAGTGACACACTATGGACTGAAAATACAATCACAGACAGATACACACAAAACACAATTCTATCACAAGTCTGCCTGGCAAAAGAATAGAAACACAAATAAATGACATTAGACAGCAATTAGGCAGGCTGACACAATACACTAAAAACAACATAACACTCAAAGAAACAACTCAAAAACATTTTGAAGAAAATCACAACACACACATTACAGAATAAATTTATATGCTAAAACAAAAACTTGCAGCTAAAGCACATAGACTCAAATGATAAAAAAACATGTAGTGCTCCAAGTCCCATAACCATAGGTGAGAATAGGTACAAAGATGCTATCATAAATTACTCCAATTGCCTTACCACCAAGTCCCCAAATAGATCTTGCTACCTTAGCAAAAGCATGCATAATGTGTTCAGTATGCTTGGTAATGTACTGGATATGACTGTTCCAAGATAACGTATGACCAAGAATTATACCTAGATATTTAAGTTCTCTCACATTGTCTACGTGCTTCCCGTCCATGCGAAGAGTCAGAACACGTGCATACAGGTTTCTATGTCTCGGTTTATTGAAAACGATTGCCTTAGTTTTGTTGGCATTAAAACAAAGTTTATTGAGCACTCCCCATTCATGAATTATATTCAAGGCTCAATTATCCTTAATTTTCAACTGTTTTCAAGACTTCCCTCCGAAGAGAACAAAAGCATCATTCGCATAGGCAACTACGGCATCTTGACCAAATAGTTGACAAAGAAATCAATCAAAAAGCATAACCCAAAGTAAAGGTCTATACACTGAGCCTTGAGGACACCCTCTCATAACATTATGATGGAAGGAAAGGTGTCCAACAGAAAACGTTGCCATCCTGTTATTAATATAATCATTGAAAAGCTTACACTCTGAGAACTTGGACATAGCTGAATACATTCATAACATAGACACCACCAAGCAGTCATGAGTCCAAAAGAACTTCATGGCAGGCATGCCTATGACATAGCTCAGGACTATTTTGACAAAACTGCATCAAACTACTGGCTGACTAGGGCTGCCTGTTTGGAGAGACAGGAGTTTATGGTTACCATTCAAGATCACGTCATAAACACTAAAAACTATAGAAAACATATCTTGAAGGATAAATCACTAACAAATGACTCTTGAAGAAAATGCCACATTCTATTAGAAACAATACAACATTTAACTTTTTGTTGCAAGCTCTTAGCAGAAACAGACTATTTACATAGGCATAATCAAGTAACAAATATAATACATGAAGAGCTTGTACAACAAACAGATTATTAAACAGATTGTTAAATACCATACTACAAATGTACTCCACAGACAGTGTTAGAAAATGACACACAAAATATACTATGACAGAGCCATAATCACAGATAAAACAATTCATCACAATAGACCTGACATCACTCTCATTGACAAATGCAGTAAGATCACTTATATAATAGACATCTCTGTTCCAAAAACTCATAACACAAAAATGCCCAAATAAAAAAAATGAACAAGTACACTCCATTTGCTCAAGAAATAAGAGGATGTGGAGGATGGATAAGGTATTTATTGTATCTGTTGTCCTCTCTTCTGTTGGTGTTATACCACATACACTACACAAAAATCTAGAAACATTAAACCTTAATAAAAACATACACTTGGCACTACAGAAAGCTGCAATATTGAACACATGTCACATTGTTAAAGTTTCTAGATGTTGATGCACATACCAATAACAGCTTAATGTTACAATTGTTTGGGTAGCTATACTTTGATTTCAGTCTGGCATAGCACTTGGCACTAGTATCAGCTGACTATGACATTTACAACATAATAATAATAATATGTAATATATATATGAAAGTAACTCGCCCCATNAAACATACACTTGGCACTACAGAAAGCTGCAATATTGAACACATGTCACATTGTTAAAGTTTCTAGATGTTGATGCACATACCAATAACAGCTTAATGTTACAATTGTTTGGGTAGCTATACTTTGATTTCAGTCTGGCATAGCACTTGGCACTAGTATCAGCTGACTATGACATTTACAACATAATAATAATAATATGTAATATATATATTAGGAATAATATATATAATATTATTATTATTATTATTACATATAAAAAATTTGATTAATGGGTTATTCCTGCATAATTTATGTAGAGTAATTAGATTTTTGTTATCATAAAAGATATAATTAATAATAACTTTGAAATGTTATTTAGGTAGATTATCGACAGAAGACAGCAGCTGCTGGAAGAATTCCAACAAATTTTTTAAGACGAGAATTAGGACCAACTGAAAAAGAAATTTTAACTAGTAGAGCTATTGGTATGATGATGTTTTTTTAAAATTTTGCATTAGAACAATTACTTTGAATTTATAAAAAATATATATACATGTATTTAAATATTTTAAAATTGCAAATTATATTTCAGAAATTAACTTTACAATATTTTAACCCTTTTTTAATTAAAAGACAAAGAATTAAAATAAAAAAAAGATACAATATTCAGATAAAATGATTTACAGTGGGTGATCGGTTAATGAACATAATCCGTTCCAAGACTTTGTTTGTTATCTGAATTGTTTATTAACCAATTATTGATTTACCATAGGTTTTTATGGGAATTTGATTAATTTGTGCCGGAGACTCCAACAAATAAAAAATAAATACGTTTTTAATACGTTTATTTATATGTAATAGTAAAAATACATATATATGCAGTCTTGTATTTTTATTAGTCATGTTTTTTTCGTTTGTGGGGGTTAAAGAATCTGTCCAATGTCGATTGCTTTTCTCTTTTCTTCAGGATTTTTCAGTAATTAATAGTATTGTAATTGTAGAGATCCCCAATCCCATTAACCTTATTCTTGTTTGGATGCCACTTTGATGATTGTTGTTCTGACATCCTCCCACTTCTTCAAAAGATCTTTAGTAGCAGATGTTGACATTGGTCCTCTTTCATCTTCCTCTTTTTCAAAAGAAAACACATCTTGTTGAGTTTCTTGGTATTCTTCATTTGAGAGTTCTTTTGTTGTCAGATCAGTTTCAAGTTCCATTATGAGCTCTAAAATGCTCTTTATTTCTCAGATGTGATTTTCATTACTCCATTAAAAGCTTGAGACTTCTTGATATATCTTTCATAGCTAAGATTGTGCCTACTGCCTAGCAACATCAGACATCTTGTGCCCACTTTCGACCTTGGCTATTATCTCTTACTTGGTTTCTACAGTGAGCACAGTTCTTGACACTCTTTTTAGGCTCCATAATATTATCAGTTTCTTTTTTAAATAAAAAGTTCAGAAAAGCACTTACAAAAATTCAGAGAACAGAAATCAACTAACCCACAAAAATTATTTAAATTCAAGGCCCAGATGAAATTTGAAATTTGGTATTAATTAAAATGTTAATGAATATCTGATGGGACAATTTAATTTTCACCTTTCATAAATAAACCCTGACGCAAAACTTAACAAGTGCCTGTCCGACAGTCTCGTGAAGACTATAAAAAAATTATTTGTCAGAAAGGTAAACAAAAAGCTGGAATTACAAGAAAGAGTTTCAAAATTCAGAGGAATACTATCCGATCGGTATTGGGTTGAGCGTTGATGTTGATGTCTCCCACACTCCAAAAGATTTAAAATTGTTATCTGAAGATAAGGGAAAATCAATTGGTATTTGTTATTTTCTGTCACTGCTTTTTATGTTAGTTCAGTAAAGTGTTCGATGTCCGATCATAAAAATCTTTCGCAAAAGTGTTCATTGTCTAATCATAAAGATCTTTCGTGAAAGTGTTTGCTATCCAAACTGTTCGTTAACTGATCACCCACTGTATTTCATTTTACATCTTTTTCAGTGTGTATGTGTATATAATACAGTAGAGCGTCGTTTATCCGAAACGTCTGTTATCCAAAAGCATTCCAGTCGGCAAATTTAAATTTTCGCTAGTGCTGTGGCGCTGCAATGTTCGGCTATTTCTCGGGCTACTCAAATATTTTATGTTTTTGATACTAAATTAACATCTGAAGTATAATTTTTTATTGTTTTTACATTTTTCAGTAAATTTATTTTGTTTGTACAAAATAAAAAAAATTTTTTAACTATACAATAGTCTTCGTTAGGCTTAACATTGACGAAAATTCAACGCGAAGCGACACGCAACGGAGAGAAATTTCAACATGGGATAAATTAATATATTTTTTCGTACATGATTCGTTATCCGAACCACCCCAGTCCCCAATTGATTCGGATAAACGACGCTCTACTGTATACTGTATAGTGTAAAAAAAAATAAGACACAACAGATAATACAATAAATTATGATTAATCCATAATTTATTTTAAGAGTTTGTTTATGGTTTTGAACAATTATCTATTAATTTTAACATTTTATTAAGAATTATAACAATATTTATTAAGTTAAATAAAATTTCATTAACATACATTAAGATTACAGTTTACCATATTTCCTGCCATATAAGATAATATTTATAATATAGCAATGACATTTCTCTGAAAACTGCACTTGTAATAAACCACAGTACCACTACTCAGATCTTTTAACAAGCTGAACAGATGTAATTCTTAAATGTTTTCGATTGTCTTAAATGACTAGTAGCACTGTGGTTTATCAATGATGATTTAATAGAAAAAAATAACATTTTTGAGAAAACTGAAATATGAAGTCCTTATGCAGAGTCCACAAAAATGACTATTGTTGAAATAAGAATTTTAACCATTTTTGCAAAAATCTCTTAATATAAAGCAACGATTTCTTAATTTGCTTGAGTGTTACATTCCAAAATGTCTTGTGCCATTTAAATTCATGCATAATGTAAATAACAATTACCAGAAAGTGTAATAATAGACCTATGAGACTAGCTCTTGCATTCTAGCTAAGTTATTTCTACTGAAACATACCATTACGAAGTAAATAAAAATAAACACAAAAGTAATAAAAACTTATTCAATTCTAATCTTTAACCAATTGAAAATCTTCAGTAAATCAAAACAAGATGATGTGATAACATTCTGCCTCTTATGACGTTTTCCATAAATATGGTTGCCATACTTTATTTTAAATTTACATAATTTAAATTCATGTAAATTAAAAACTCACTATATGTTGGAAAAAATTAAAATTTTTAATGCAACTTATTTGAGTGCTTTGTAATCTTGAGAAGTTCAGGTGCAAATTTTTTTAAAGAAAGGGCTAAAGCTAAAAAAATGCTCATGAAAATGTATAAAAGTAAAACTATCATTTTATTGCACATAAAAGTATATTTAGAACATGTAAAACTTGAGAAAAATGGTAGAAAATTCAAATCAGTTAGTAACTTTTAGAATCTGATCCATAAGTTCCATAGTTTGCAACAGAAAAGCAAACACACTGTCATTCTACATTCTTTGTGGTCAATCACAGATGCCATGAAGAAAGTAAATTTTTGAACTGAAAAAAACAATCTCTCAAAATGAAGAGTTGAGAGGAGCATACTTGGTTTTCACTGAAACCTTCATATTTTGTTACTGAAGAAACTCAGGAATTATATTTTGAATATCTGAATTTTTGGTCAGGGAGTATCCTAGTTCTTCTAAAGTAAATCCATCTAACTGATTTTTGGCATGCTTAAAAATCTCTCACTACTTTTCTCTAGACAGATTGCTTACTTGAAGCTTAGAAACTGAACAGCACAAGAACTTGTATGAATGAATAGTGTAGATTTTCTTTAACATGGCTTCTTGTTTCAACAGACTCTTGAGTTTAATTGTGGCTGCTGAAGACTTTGTCTAGTTTATCAATGAATGCCCACAAGGATGAGAAATTTTTGGCATAAAAACAATCCAGTTGAATTCACATGACTCACCTGGTTATTACAGGGTGTTTTGGGAGTGGTAAGCCAGTTATTTCTTTATATAGATGTACTGTACATTTACAGGACATTTAATCAAAACCATTTTCATTTCCAAAACGAAATTGTTAGTATAAGAAAATTATGTTTTAATTGCTTCACATATCCTGTAAGGCAATGAGCAAGACAAGTGACATGTCTCAGATTTGGATACATTTGCAAGGTTACAGCCAATGTTTTCAACACAAAAATGTGTACCTTGGACGTTCAGCGCCACCTTTCTGTAAGCCTAGAAGTTTGATAATGGCATTTGGAACGTGAATGGAATTATGCTCAACATTCCAAATGCCATTGTCAAACTTCTAGGCTTACAAGAAGGCAGTGCTTCATGTTCGAGGTACATGTTTTCACATTGAAAATTGGCCGCAACCTCGCTATTATATTCAGTGTGAACTTAGCATGTTTGGTGCCTGGTCTGCTACAAGTAACTGAACATTTTCATACAGAATGGCATTGTGCCACAATTTCACACAAGCATCATTGAAGACCTGCATAACAGTTGTGGAATTTCTTTTGTAATTCATAAACTCTTAACAGCATGGATTATACTAGTTGTTCTGTTAATGGATTGATGAGAATGTTTAACATCTGTCATTTGATGACTTTATTCTCTATGTTCAAATCAAAACAAAATGAAAATGACACAATGGCCATTTTGTGACATTATTGTCATGTTTATTCTAACAAATTTTAAGATAAATCTGGCTTAAATTATTAATTGATTATTTTCACAGCAATGAATATAAAAATTAATGGTGTGTTAGATTCATCATTTAGCATCAAATAACAAATGAGATAAAAACATAATGTGCTTCATACTTATGGATATTGACCATATATATATCATATTTTTATTTATTTTCTTTATATAGTAATTTATAATCATGTGTACTTCATACTGGTTGGTCTAAAAACATAGTATCAAAATTATGGCATTTGGCTTTTTGATTGGTGTTGGTGGACTTCCCATCATTAAAATTTTCAAAAAATATTCCTCAAAAAAAAAAAAATCACTAAGTTCTAAACAGATATGACAAATTTTTTGAAGCAAATTTTTGGAAATTTTGAAATATTTATTTTATATGGCCGAAAATGTAGAATTTCTTTAAATTTACTTCAATATGCATTATTTATTCTTTTTTATTTGTAACATAGATAGAAAATAATGATATTAATAATAGTTAATTTTTCAATGATATTTTTAAGATTGATATTGAAATATGAAGTTGAAAGTAATATTTTAAAGGAGAGACTATAACTCCAGCAAACAGATTTAATAATTAAACTTTAACAAATTTTTTTGTATTGAAGTGTGTAGAAAATACTGTCTTTATATTCCTGGGGGGGGAACAAAGTTATAAAAGCTAGAATTAGGATGATGATGATATGACTTTAATATAGATCAGTGTTTCCCAAACTTTTTAGATTAGCAAGACACTTTGAATTTAATAAGATTCCTGCAATACACCATAATTTTTTAAATAAAAATGTTTATAATTTGAAATGTGTTATGGTTCATTTTTAAAAATTTTGATAATACAGAAGTTAAACTTACTGAGACAAAAAAACAATTTTAGAAATATGAAAATAAAAAGAGTATTTGAATTAATGTGTAAAGAGCTAGTAACTGTTTTTAACTGGTAAGCTGTAATAGAGTTAGTATGCTGGCATATACATAGACATGCACAACTTTTGTGGGGATTATGCTGGTGCTGTAAATTTTGTAACAGTTGGCATTTTAGTGAATAACTTCTTCTCCCTTTAGTTGGCTGGCAGTAAAAAGATAAAAGATAAATGAAATTTAAAAAGGAGATTATTTCAAAATTCTAAAAGATACTGAATATATTCGTGACACATATGAGGCACTCTTGCAGCTCATGGGTTGGGAAACATTGGTATTGTAACAATTGTACTAAGATTTTTGGACGTATTTTGAATGCATTCTTATATATACAATATAAAAATTCAGTTTAAAAAATTTATAGGAATTTAGAGTTAATAAGTATTCAGAATATTTTCTTTTGAAATTTTTGATTTAAAATGCTTATTAAATTTTTTTCTTAAAAAATAATTACATTATGTTCATAAGGAATACAGATACTTCCCTACTTATGAACAGGTTAGGTTCTCGAGGTTTTGTTGTAAATTGAAAACTAATTTAGAAAATACAGTTGTACACAGAATAACCATTTATTAGAGTTTGATCCTTCAATGTACTTAATATAATATGTTACGCTTGTTTACCCACTTGCTACTGCTTAGTAGCAGGTGCTTCAAATGCACTTATTTTTACCTAACACACTTAATGTTATAATGTTCAGTTTAGTTTTTAATTGATAGTGATAATTGATTCAGTTGATAATTGAGTGACAGTTCTTGCATTTATTTCCACTGCTAGATGTACTATTTCATTTTGGATGCATTTTTTGAAGCACTAATTGTAAAAGTTTATAAAAACTGCAAATAATAGCAAAAAATGCCATTACGCTAACTTTAATGACCACTAGTGGCAACAAAACCTCAGAATTCTTGCAGAAATGAAAAATGATGATATGCAATAGAAATAAGTCCACATTAATTATTTATTAAAAATTTATTATTTTTTACTGACCAAAGACTGACTTCAATACCATCCTCTGAGTGGCAAGAGAACTTTAGAATCCATGTGAAATTTAAATTTTAGACATAGTTAAATTGTTCATAAGAAAGTTTGTAGGTTGAATGTTCATAAGTAGGGAAGCTCCCGTATTTTATTGTTGTTCATTTTAAATTTAAAAATCAATTACATAAATTTTGCAGATAGATCCATCAGGCCATTATTTCCAGAAGGTTACTTTTATGAAACACAGGTATCAATTTTATGTATATTTTTAAAATTTTGATTAAAATAACATTAAATATTGAATTTTTGGAGCATGCATGCATACATGCATACATACATACATATATTTAAAAATGTGATAANCCCATAAATTACAAGGATGTTGAAACCATCTCACATGAATATGAAAAATTTATTATCAGTGAAAAAATTGCATTTCATGTAATGATTTATAAAGTAACTTTTATCTATCTATTGCAAAAAATAAAATTTATCATTGATCACTTGTTGTCGGCTAATCATTGATTTATGCAATGTGATTGTTGAATTAAATTAATAATTTTTGAAGTTTTTGTTTCAAATAATGATTAAATTTATATTATTATTTAAGACATTTTAGTTTATTCTATAATCAATAAAGAACATTGTAAAAATAACATTAATATGTAATACTGTTATGATGTATACTGACAAAAATTCTTAGATTGTGAGGATTTTATAGCTCAATTTTTATTGAAATGAAATTAGACAAAATACCTGATGATAAAATATCAATTATTATTCAGAAATAGTATGAAAAAATTATCTGATCTACATTCAAATGTAGAAAGAATATATCTAGTTTGAAAGAGTAAGGACCAATGTCATGGGCATCTGCCTTTGATATTGTTCTTTATTCTTCCAAGCCTTACTAAGGATATACGAGGTCTTGCTAAGTTAAAATAATAAAATATCAACCTTATTAGATAAAAATGCTATAAAACATAGGCTATTAAAAAACACAACATAATAACTTACATTGAAAGTAGACTGATGTTACCTAAAATTTCAGGATACCATAAGGATATCGTAAGAATGCAAGTATCAGATTCAGACAATCAATGAAGCCAGTCAGATGCTGGAGTAATTTTCATAGAAGAAAAATTATTTGTATGAAATTTTAGCATTTTAAATTTATGTATTTTGTATTGATTCAAATGAATTTATTTTGAAAAAGTTTTAGATAATGTAAAGTTTTGAGAAATCTCAAAATGATTAAGTTTGATAGCTTGAAAGAAAATAGTATTGAAAATTAAGTCATTTTAATTTTGATATATTTATTGAATGAATTATTTCTTTACTCATAGCAATACTAATATCAATTTTATAAGAATAATAAAACATGCAATAATAAATCATTGACCCGTAATAAAATGAAATGCTTTTAGAAAGATAAAAAAATAATCTTTTAATCAAATTTTTTTCAATGAAAGATGTTACAAATGACTAAGCAATTACATTAAAAACTGTGTCAGCTTTCTTTAACAGTTAGCAGCCTTTTGATATCATTTGTATTAATTTTCTGAACAATGTATCTGACTACAAAATATGGACCTAGCACATAGGAAAAATATATCTGATTATTAGTGTTATTGATTTTAAGACATTCTATTGCAAATTTGTGTAAAATTGAAATTTGTTTTCTTTGTAGGAATCAATTTATGAAACTTAACTGTCTAAAAAAAGAAAGTATATAAAAATTTTAGGAAGATGTTAAATAGTAGACACAATATTTTAAGATATAATTATTGTTTTAACTGAAATAGTAACAAATAATACCATTCAGTTAAAGAAAAACATATCTGTGATTAATAATTTTAAATATTATACGAAGTAACTATGTTTAATATTTATTTTATCTTGTTAGAATTGTTATTTAGTGTTAAAATATTCAGAACAAATTTGTATTAAATTCATAATCTTGTTTATATGATAAAATTAGATTTTTATTTTTTTTTTAGGTGACGTGCAATCTTCTAGCAGTTGATGGATGTAATGATCCTGATGTAGTTAGTATAAATGCAGGTAAAAATTAAAGTTAAGTTAACAAAACTTTATATTATTTGATTATTAAATTTCATTTAAAAAAACTTATGCTTAAGTTATATTAAGGTAGATTATATTTTTGTTATTGGTTTGAATAAATTAAATTTTTTGTGTTTTAATATAAAAATAAATCAGAGTAAATGATTTAATATTAAAAATGCCACTTTTTATCATCTATAAGCAGTTTATTGTAATGAATTCAAGAAATTATAATATTTATTTATTGTGTTATTAGAAAGATATATAAATTGAATAATAAATAAAGAATATCATTTTTATGTAATTATATAAATTATAATAATTTAATATGATGTAGCTTCTGCTGCATTGGCACTTTCTGACATTCCATGGAGAGGTCCCATTGGTGCTGTACGAGTTGGAATGATCAATGATGAAATTATAATCAATCCATCACGTAGAGAAATAACTGAAAGCACATTAAATCTTATAGTAACTGGAGCTGAACATAATCAAGTTGGTAAGAGAAAAATTAGTAATTAAATTTTATTATTATATATCAAAGTAATTTTGATATTTTAGGTTAATTCTAACAAAATACCTACACATGCATGCATCTACACATACATGCGTGCACACACACACGTACACACACATATATAAGTGAAATAATCTGAATAATCTCTTTCACATTTATATATATGTCATATCAAAATAAACAGACTAAAAAACCCAAAGAAATTCAGCAATAAAATACTTTTACTAATGAAACAAACAATACATTTGTTTTATTTAGTTTGTTTAGTTGGTCAAAGCTTCTGCCAAGAACCCATAAATTACAAGGATGTTGAAACCATCTCACATGAATGGAAGTCCTTTTTTGAAATACACTATAAAATTTTTAAATTTTCATTACCAATAAGCATCCATGTGGTGTTGCACTGTATCAACCAATGAAATAGTAGTTCCATCTGTTTAAAATTTATGTTCTCTTTTGTATTCCACATTCAAATGTATTCACAAACTGAAGATGATTGTTTAAAACTGTTGAAAACATTTATTTTGTTTGTTTAGTTAGTAAAAGTATTTCATTGCTGGATATCTTTGGTTTTTGCTGTGTTTATTTTGACATTATTGTGTTCTGTTATATGTGTGGTATCATGTTTATGTATATTTGTTGTAATTTATGATTAAAGTTAAATATATAGAATAAATTCTGTATTATATATTGTTATAAGAGAAAAGTTGCTTGAGTAAGGTTACCAAAATTATTTATTTTTGGCCTACAGTTCAGGTCACCTTCAGCATACATGTAAATTAAAGCAATTGAATGCTTTCATTTTGATATGGGGTTTGTCTATTAATCCTTTTAAATCTTTAGTTATGATTTTTCGTGATGGTGATATACCTGAAGACTCAGATAGATTTTTATATTACTAAGATAAAATTAAATTTAGTTTCAGAAATTAAATATTTAGTGTTGACTAATACTATATCTTTTCATAAACATTTCATGTATTGTTTAAGGAACTCTGATACATTGATTGTTAACGTCCAGTCCCGAGTTAACTCGGGCATGTTACATAGCGTTACAAAAAATGCGGTCCTTTTGGCACCCAAAATTTTTTTTATTTTTTTATTTTTGGAATGTTTTTTGTGTCCAAATTTTTTCAAAAATTTTTACCTGCACAAAAAATTTTTATCGCGATTTTAATTAGCCTTTGATAAGGCTCGATTAAGGCTTAATTGTTTTTTAATGGGATTTTTTATCAAAGTTAATTAATCGTTCTAAAGTTGTAGTGCATGGATTTGACTTTGGTAAAGTTATTTAAAGCTACTTTCTGATGTCTAAAACGACCTCCAATAGTTTTTTAATTTTTTTAATTAATAGATTTTATTATATATAAATTTAATTAATTAGGGGTGGTCGGAAATTGCAATAAAATTTTTAATTTTTTTAAAATATTTAAAAATATAGGTTTAATTAGTATTCACCCTACTTTAAACCCTTGTCCTCCCGAGACATCTATGAGAATGCCCCGGGAAATCTGACTCCAGCTGTTCTCAAGGTCATCCAGCTGTGTAAACAATGACTTGTCAGTGTCAAATTTCACAGAAAGGCGAGACAAAGGAAAATAAAATTTGAAGCTTTTTCTTCAAAATTAATGCATTTCTTTCGTTTTTTTTCAGTTTTAAGTATTTTTTTTATGCTTAATTACATTATAATTAATAACAGGTGGGCGTTAAGAGGTTAATTATGAAAAATAAGAAATTAAGAAACATTCTTATATTTTAAAATTGTTTAATGCAGTGAGTAATATTGAATGCTGTTGAATATTCTTCTCAAATTTGGGCCCTGGAATTTCATGTTAGTACTATAAATTCTCCTGCCAAATATGATGGACTACTTTCTATCAGAAAGTAAATATTGAAGAATTGAGAAGAGTAGATTTCAAGAACTTCAAGAAGAGTAACTAATACTTCTACAAATTCAATAGTTTATACTGATTGTTGGAGTATAATTGAAGCACAACAATACCTTTTAAATAACAAGCTTGTTAGATCATTACTTCCAATCGGATAATAGAACATCACATAGTCACTATAGAAAGATTTTTTTTAAAATTTGTTTTAAAAGTGACATGATGCAGCTATCTTTAAAGTTTAAATTTTAAATCTAATGAAGTAAGTTGAAAATATGCCATTTTCCAAAATATTTAAAAATGCAAATCAAGGGAAATTCTATTGTTAAGCACAAACTAAATGAGGTCACTGATGTCACTGCAACACAAGTGCAATCACCAATCCAAAATTGATAAAACGTTTATTTTGTAGGTAATATTTCCACAAAATAAGTAGCCTATATTTCCATCAGAACATAAAATGAATATAACCAAAATTTCATGTGGATTGGACAAAAAGTTGCAGGAGTTATAAGGTTATAAGGAATTCACACACACACACACACACACACACACGATGGCTTTTATATTATTGTGTTGATATAAAATAAATTTTTGAGAAAATTATTTTCTTTGGAAGATTATATACCTGGAAAATACACTCTGGCTCGAATCTAATAGATATTGTCTTTTTCCATACTTGGTAATTATTTTTATTTGGCATTGTTGATAGATCTGAAATGTTTAAAATGTTAATACAAAAAATGCAAGAGTATCTTAATATGAAAAACAATTGGACAGTTGTTTTATCCATTACTTTGAGCAAGAATGGTTTATCTATTATTCCTTTTCTGGATTATAATGACATCAGTAAATAATCTTTTGTTTTCTTGGTGTTAATTTTATTATATCTTTAATCAGTGGTATTGACAATAAAAATAGGATTATCCATCATAAATTCTATAAAGGGATATTTGGTCTTTTCTGTATTAATGGATATTTGCTTTCCAGTTTACCTTTCAATGTGAAAAGGTGTTTTGCTAAAGAAGTGTTAAGTAAAACATATGTATCATTCAAATAAATTATAAATGATTGCAAGAATGATACATAGTTAAGTTTGTTGTCAAGTTTAATTTGTAATAAACTTGGCAATTTGTAATAAAATGGTTATACTATATTTAAAGGTATTTGGTTATATTTTGTATCATGGCACTCTTTGTAATAAGAGAATTTCTACATTATAAGTAAAGTTTGTTTTCTAATTTCTAATTCATTTCCCATTGAACAAAATATTTTCCTCATTTTATTAAAGTTATAATGAATGAGAGTATAAGTTATATTAATTTTAACATTATTATTTTTTAATGTATTTATTTTTAGTACATATAAAAAAGTTAACAAATTCTTTCATTTTGATAATTAAATTTTCAGTAATGTTGGAAGCTTCAGCTGAGAATATACTTCAACAGGATTTATTAAAAGCTATTAAACAAGGTGTAAAAGAAACTCAACATATTGTAAATGGTATATTACAACTTCAGAAAGAGTATGGCAAAAGTAAAAGAGAAGTTGAGAATTATTTTGTTCCTTTGTCAGAACTTGTTGAGGCAACTAAATCGTATGTAATTTTAAATTTTAATTTTCTCAGTATGAGTTTTAACAATTATAAAAATTTATATATGTAACTCTAATATGATATATGAATTCATTTATAGATGTGTGTAAAAACATTTATTTTAGCACAATATTTTAAATATTCGTAGAATTAATTTTTAAAGCATTTGACCAATGTAATATAATTAATTTCAAGAAATAACAGTATTTACTTCAGCATACTGATGAATAACTGAAAGAAATCTCTCTGGAACAAAATAAATTTTTGAAAGTAAAACTTTAATTTTTCTAAATAATTTAATGAGTCTTACAGATAACTATTGAGTAAAGAAATATTAGATATTATTTAATTGTTTAAATGATTAAAAGAATATTTTATGTTAATCATACTATTTTCCTCCTCTTTTTTATGTTCATTTCTGGTTATTATGAAACTTCAATAAAATTAAAAATAGAACTACAAATATCATAGATCAAAATTTTGAAATAAATGAAATTATTAAACTACTTTTGTTAAATAATTACCACAAAATCACTTTATTGAAACGGCTACATACATTACATAATAGAATACTAAACAAAGTCCAGAACATTATTTCTCCGGCAAAATCCTATAAAGTTCCATATGTCAAAAATTTTTTTGAAAAAAACAAAATAAATTTAAACAGTTTAATATATGTACAGTAATACTTCAGTTTTTGTTGACTACAGTTATTGTTGGTTTCATTTTTCATAGATTTTTTTCTGTGAAAAATTTGTTTTGGATTTTAGTGGTGTGCCCACATGACCTTGCTGCTAATTTTGCGAAAACAAAGGGCAACCCACGTGTTTTCTTGCTCAGTGTGGCATTGTTTCTCATTGTGTGAGCATTACCCTGCATGTCTAGTCAAACAGTTCCATTGCTTTCCTTTCTTTTTAGCTCCATCATGGGACCAAAGAAAGTTTCCAGAGCCAGCAGCTTTTTGAATGCCATGTTAAATGTTCATTTATTCTTAACATTTGTCTTTTATATTCATTTTATATTAATTTCTTACTGTTTTTAGTATAAAATACAATATATATTCTCTATAAAATGTGTTTTTGGTATTATTTTGGAGTGTCTAGAACGAATTAATTGGATTTACATTGATTCATATGGAAATAATTACCTTGATTTTCGTCAGTTTCAGATTTCGCCAATTATTTTGGATGGATTATCAATGAAAATCGAGGTATCACTCTATTGTACCTGTCCACTCAAACACTATCCAAAAAAGAGTAATCAACAATAATACTATTATCAACAGTTTGGAGAAAAACAATGTGGCTTATAAGTTTTCTTGTAGTTGTAACCACATGTTGGTGAAACCAAAAGAAAATTAAAAATACAATTTAAAGAACACATCAATGCTGTAAAATACAATCTAGAAACTCTGCTGTTGCTAAATATTGAGTATACCATAATTGCAATATTAATAAAGATTCATCAAAAATATTAAAAACTGGAAGAAATACTACAAAATGCAAATTATACAAATATTTAGAAATTATCAAAATCCACGATAACAAAAACACGAGTACAACTAGGCCACATCTGGCACCCTTACTTAAACATCTGTAACCAACTAGACTACAGAAAACACTTAAAACACCAACTGTATACCATCCTATGTGTGTTAGCAGTAGAAAACATTGTATGAACTAACATACTGCAAAAAATTTATGTAACCTTTTTGAAAAATAGCTTTTACTTTTGTAACTGTAATCTTGTTTATAACTTTGTATTTGTCTGTTTTCATAGTTTATTTACTTCACATTATTTCATTAAACAATAGTTATAATCTCTGTTGCTACTTGTACTGTAAACAAAATAAAATGTTTGTAAAAAACTCAACAATGAAAACATCACATTTTGGCAACAAATAGAATGGACTATTTAAGTATGTATAAAATATACTTTTAAACTATTTTAATTAATAATCAGAATGTTTTTAACAATAAGTCGCTTGTATTTTAGGCCCAGCAAATTGTAACAAGCATGGCTGAAGATAGACTGTCTGAAATGTTGTTGCAATAAACCTGTGTTCACCTATTTCTGTGTGATTACTCTGACAACAACAATAGTGTGTGATATGTCCTCCACAGAGCCAAAACTTAGTGCTCATAAGCAATATAGCAATATAAGGACAAAAAGCAAATCACCAAACTCGCCAATATATCCAAACAACAAATTTTTATTAAAAACATTTATAAATGAATTCATATCCAAATCATACTTATTTACATTTTCATAAAAATAATTTTGCATGCTTCATATATTTTTTCATAATAATTAGTTTAAATATCCTGTAAAATTGCTATTAATTTCTTTTTTGTTTAATATGTAGTTTTTTCCCAGTAACCATATATATTCAGTATTTTTCTAATATTTTAAATATATTTATTTATAAATTTCTTTTAAAGCACTAATTAATTAATTATGAAAAAATATATAATTTTTCTAATTTATAGATTGTGTGAAATTCGTGTAAAAGAAATATTATCGGATTACTCACTTGATAAAGTAAGGGCAAAATTTGGATCATATTGTTTTTCTTTAAATTTTGGAGTTAGAAAAAAAATATTTTTGATTTTTAGGTATCTAGAGATGTTGCCTTACTTGAAATTAGGCAAGAGGTGGTCGAAAAATTAAAAGGTAATACTTAATCATTTTTTAGCTTATACGCATTCGCTATAAATTTACAAATTAACTATAATTCTTGATAGTTACTTTAACCCCAGCATAACTCTTTTATATCAAATAATGAATAATTCAAAACTGAAAAAGACTATTCCATTGGTGTAGACCAGGGGTCGCCAAAGTGATCTATATTGACTCCTGGGGGTCGATATAACATTATTGGGGGGTCAATGAAAAGACTAAAACTTACAAATTTTGAACCAAATATTGCTAATCTTGCTAAGGATTATCAAGCTTATCCATCTCATTGATTGTCAGTTACATAAATTATTATTAACCACTAGAGTTTCTTTTCTTATGTCTGTAATGAATGACAGTTTCTTTTCTTATGTCTGTAATGAATGTCTGTAAAAAATGACAGTATATTTATGGAAGGAGAAAATTGAAATTATTGATTAGAAAGATTACTAATATTTCTTTAAAAAATATATAAATTTTTTATATGCAAAAATTTATGAATTCCTTGTCTTAAAGAATGAAAACATCTTTAAAAAATTATATAAATTAAAGGAAAAAAATTTGTAATTATGATTTTCCTATATCAGATGTTGGTATGAAAGTGTTCTAAATATTGGTAAAGTATTCTGTAGTCTAAGGATTGATGACCGGATGGATAATTCGGGCATCAGCATACCACTTTAGGTGGAATCTGGATTGAATCCAGGTGAGTAACCCTGGAAATTTTTAGGGAGAGTGTCCCAGATATGTTGGCCCTTTCCTTGCCATCTTGGTCACCTCCTGTTGTGGGTCTGGCCGAATCTATGATGGATATAATTAAAATGGCCCTCTTAGTACCCGCAGGGTGAAAAGAGTAAAAAAAAGAAGTTTAAATTCCAGAAATTGATTAGTCAAATGTTAATTTAGATATTCTACCAAGATAGTTTTGGAATTATACAATACAGATTGTAATTATTCATATTTATATATAGATAATTTTAACAAGAAAAGTATATTACGTGTTGAATTGCTTGAACTTCTTTGTGCAACCTTTTTTTTTTTTAAAAAAAATTTATATTTTGGAATATAAATTTAAGTAAATTATATATATTTGCAACTATTTCAAGTACAGGGTGATTCAAATGTCACAGAAATTTAAAAAAATTAATAACTCACAAACTATTTACAGTAAAATGATGCAGTTTCCACAGAAATGCTTAGAAGGAAGTGTGATTTTTTTTGTGTGTAATAAAAGTTTTAGTACCAAAATAGTTACATTTCTTGCCATAGATGGTGCTTGATAAGATTACATAATTTGTGTAGTTGTTATTAGAGCTTACATTAAAAACATTTTTATTTTTTTATTCTTATTTTAACAAATTTACAAATGCTTTCAGTTTTCTACAGTGCCATCTATGGAAAGAAATGTAACTATTTTAGTACTAAAACTTTTATTAAGCATAAAAAAATCCCACTTTCTTTCTAAGCATTTCTGTGAAAACTGCAGCATCTTACTATAAATAGTTTGTGAGTTATTAATTTTTTAAAATTTCTGTGACTTTTGAATCACCTTGTATATTTTGACAATATATGAAAATGCATATACAGTAGAGCATCGTTTATCTGAATCAATTGGAGATTGGGGTTGTTCGGATAACCGATTATGTACAAAAAATATATATAACCTATCCCATGTTGAAATTTTTCTCTGTTGTGTGTTGCTTTGTATTGAATTTTCATCAATGTGAAGCCTAACATAAATTTTTTAAAATAATTGTGGCTATTGTATCGTTAAAAATTATTTCTTTATTTTGTACAAACAAAATAAATATATTGAAAAATATAAAAACAAAAAAATTATATTTTGGAAGTTAATCTAGTATCAAAAACGTTCAATTCAGCATGACACAATCTGACTGGAATGCTTTTGGTTAACCAACATATCAGTTGATCTGCTTTCAGATAAACGATACTCTACTGTAATTTAGTTAACAACAAGTTGGTATTCTTTCCTGTTTTTCATGATTTCTTTTAATGAATAATGCTATAAAAAAATGTTACAAATACACAAGATTAAAAATAACAGTATCAAAGGAAATATTGCATTTTCATTTCTACAAAAAATGACTATTATAAATGATAATTTATAGAAGTTAGTATATTACAAAGTTGTTAGGATTAAGTTTTGTTTGAGAGAATGAATATATGATGTTTTATTCCATTTGTTTGTTTCTTTTTTTTATTTATTTTTACATATATGTTGTATAAAATCAATGATTCAATAAATATTTTTAAAAATGTAATTATGATAAAAATAGTAATTCTTGCTGCATGGATGATATTCTGGCTGCCTAGCCAATAAGCCAATATATATATCTGGTTGTTTACACAAGTTTCACTGTATATAAAAGGAATGACTTTTTTACATTCAAGTATAGATTGATACCAATTTTTAACTTTCTTAAGACCAGGGTAACGATCTGCCGCACCCCCCTTTGTTATAACAATGTACTTGAGTACCGATTCGTCGTTACCCTTCGAAAAATCGATTTTAATGAAAATTTTTGGCAACAGATGCCACCACTTGACGGTAGTGTGTTGCTTACCATCTGTTTCACATATTTGTGTCCAGGTGGTGTTTTGTCGACTCAAAAATTTTCATTTAGCGATTTTTTTTTTAATTTAAATATTTTTAAATTTATTTTATAGCATATTTACGTAATAATATTACTAAAATACGTTTATTTATGCTATAATAAGTTTATTTAGTTATAATTAAGCAATTTATGATAAATATTTAAATTGTAACTTTTAATTTTAATATTTTATAAATTTTTAATTTTTTATTTTTTAATTTAATTANGTTTGTACAAAATAAAAAAATAATTTTTAACGATACAATAGTCTTCGTTAGGCTTAACATCGACGAAAATTCAACGCAAAGCGACACACAACGGAGAAATTTCAAGATGGGATAAATTAATATATTTTTTCGTACATAATCGGTTATCCAAAATATCGATCTTCCGAAGAACCCCAGTCCCCAATTGATTCGGATAATCGACGCTCTACTGTACCTAAAATTACTTTAACATGGCTATGCAAATATCTTTTAAAAATATTTTCACACCTTGTACATACAGTAGGTACAGTACATTTAAACAAGTAAAATGGCAAGGCCATATTTGGGACAAGACTATGTCTCAAAGACTCACTACTAAGCAGAATCACTTTGACGCTCAAAGCGGGTCTCATTCTCAATCTTCAATCTTCTTTGGTATCACTGGTTTTAAGTGCAATCTTTCAAACTTTGCCAGCCATGACCACAAGGTTGTGCACAATGCATTTTTTTGGTGAAATTAACCTATCCAATTTTGAAATTTCTCAATGTTGCATGTTGCCTGGGTTGAATTTTTGTCAATGCCTAATGAAAATTTTGCGTTTTTGAAAAAAATAATCCTGGCTATTGTATTGTTTCTGGCTATTGTTTGTGCAAAATAAAAAAATAACTTTGGATGATATTAATATATGTATATTAATAAATGTAGAGAAAAACAAATTATATTTCGGAAGTTAGTTTTAATATAAAATTATGACAACTAGCGCCATCTACTTTGAAAAAAGGTGATACTGAAACGAGATATCTCGGGTCGGGTCAGCTGGTCAAGGTCAGCATGTCATGACCAGAGATATGTTGGGAATAATACATAACAGGTAAATGGGTTTTTTTCAAAGACTTGTTTGTCAAAATTCGATTTCTGATTTCAAACTTCCCAATGCCCACGTTTGTCAAAATTCGATTTTGCAATGTTCGCATTTCCAACGAGCAATGCATGTGCAAATCTTGCACTACTGCCTGTTTATAGAGAGTGTCGTCATTTTGAATTTTATTTTGACTCGGTTCTTGGTCCCTTGAATACCTACAAGTCTGGTTTTTTTGTGTGTGCATGATTTGGGCACCTAATACTCTGTGACATATTGCAACTCCTGACATGTACTCTTTCATACCTCTAAGCTCAGCAGGTAGTACAATTTTATAAACAAGACATAGTCTTGTCAAAAAATGTATTCACATAGATGTAAAAAACTTTTTAATTCACATAGATGTAAAAAACTTTTTAATTGAAAATTAATAAAAAAACTTTAAATAAGAACATAAAAAAAAGAAGTCAAAATCAGACTAATTTATTTAGTTTTTAAAAAAACAAGAAGGTAGTCAAAATAATGACAATAATTCCAAAACAATAGTACCATTAATTTCAAACCAGGAAGCTTGTTTAAAACAGAACAATGTTATTTATATGAGGAGGTTGAGTCTGTCTGACAATTTTTATTGATCATCTGGCCAAAAAATATCTGGGACAAACATTGTAAATGAAATTTCTTATTCAGTTCTAATTGATATTTATGGGATATTTTGCTATGCAGAATGTATAACAAATTTGCCACAATTGCCAGCAGGTTTAATAATGTAATTAATATAATAGATCAGGAATGGCCAACTTTTGTGTACATAAGATTTACTTTTTATCTAAAAAATGTGTCGCAATTGACTTGTTGTCATAGGCATAGTCTAAGTGGTGAGGGGAGGTGTAAAATACATACTATGTTTAGATAGGTAAGAAAAACCACAATTTAATTTAAAACATGAAGAAAAGGTACTTACATTTTAAACAGAAGAAAAATTGAAACTCAATATTGTCACTTTCAAGGATAACTACTTCATCCTTCCTCTCTCTACCATGTCCCGACCTACTCTTTCTGTCCCTCTTCCTGCCTTTCTTTTTTTTGGTTTTACAACCCTTTGTCTACATTTCTTATTTCCCTTTTACAACTGTATGCAAATGGATTGCACATGGACTGACAAAACCATATCTGAGGGCGGACGCAGAGGTACGATATCACTACAGTTGCATTTGTGCATTATGTGTTTGGTTACAGGTGTAACATATTAAGTCAAGACATTGCAAGCGATTGACCAAAATTGGCTTTGCAATCGACCGGTTGATTGCGATCAA